ATATGTGAAAGTAACTTGGTTTGTCTATTACGCTTTCACGCCTAAGTCACTGAATATATTTTAATGAAATTCGGTATAGAGTAAACTTTGGGATAGATGATAATGGGGTTGAAGGAGTCAAAGATAAAACTATAAAAGGATTACTACCCTTACAATAACAAACTAATAACCATTGTATTGTTACTTATGGCTCTGTTCACGTCATTTCAATGTGACTTTTAGTAAGGCCTTACACTACATGAATAGTATGGCACACCGTTACAGTAGTTTAATTACTTATTAGCACATAAAACAAATTACAGACATATATTTAATAAAAAATATAATATATATAAAACATTACACAGGACTATAATTCTTAATATTATGTACACATAATCAACCCTTATTTATATAATAATCAAGAAACGGATAATCTATAGTAATGAGTGAATTATAGATAAAACAATAATATAATTATAATGAATAGCAAAAAATCAAAATCTGATCAAATCCAAAGAATTCATTAATTAAAATTGATATTAACAAATAAAATAAAATCCAAAAACAAAAAAAAATTGCTAGGGAAATTAATTCATATTATTTAGATTATATCGAATCGTAACCTATCTCACCGAGAAAGTTTAAAAATAAAAATTATAAACAGCTAATATTTTCCAGTACCACTCTTTTAAACTTTTGCAAGTTTAGATGGAAAATATCTAAACAATCACACTTGGAGGATATATGGTTAAATGTGCGACACATTCTAACGATCGGGTTATAGAAGGATGTGTTATTGGTGCAAACTTTGAGAACAAAAGGTTTCGGACTACGGGACCTAAATCGAATATTAAATTGCAAACTAGAAATCAAGTACGGGGAGTCTATAATGGAGTTAACCAACTTAAATACTAATACTACATTACGTATAAGTAAGGCCTTGGGTATTTAAAGCACTTGATAATAATATAAATAGGTAAAGTAACCGATTATGTAAACTGTAGGTACCTTTTTATTTTTGAATACACCCGTCCCGTTTTCTTATAAGAATTCACGTATACCACAATTCAATTTGTTATCAAATCGAATCATTGTAATAAAATCTACAAACTTATTTAATTATTCACTTCGTTTGTAAAGGGATAAGCTCGATCCCAACATTTTGTTTGCACATTTAACAATGTTAGGACACCCACAGGACTCTCCATAGATCCCTGGGGTGAAGTATATGTGCCCCGAGGCGATATGGAGTTGGCCACAAGTTGTTGCTATGGTTTTAATACCATTTAAAACTTCCAGTCCCATTTTCATCTCTTTATTTGATGTTTTTCGGGATAAAATATAGCCTATGTTCACCACATAAGATGTAGCTTCCCGTGGGTAAAAGACTTTTTAAAAAGACGTTGCAAACAAACAAACCATCAAATCTTTCTTCTTTATAATATTAGTATAGAAGTATCGATAACAGGCCCGTGGGAAAAACATTGAAAACGGAATAAAGACTACGAAATATACTTTTAAAATTCTAACACTCAATTGCAGCAATCTCTAAGTTTTAAGTAATGAATGTTCCAAATTTAAAAATTCACATTGTTCACCAAAAAGCTCTAGTGAACGTATTGAAAATTTGTATTGGTATTATAAAATTGACATTAATTTAATGCCACGTTACCGATACATATTCTATCATTTAGAACATTTATAAGAGCTTAAAGTCGTCATTAACCTTAATGCACGGTTGTGCAACTGGCCATATGAGGCTAATATTTTCCGAACATATAATAGAAACCCGTATTGTCACTTGTAGGATAAAACCGTATTGGATAGACCCTTGATTTGTGCCAGCACCGTTATTTTGTGAAGCAAATATGCATTAAGGAATATTATTTAGAAATTCAAGGCTACTGTTCAAATACACCCGTTTCAAAATTTTTTTTTAATTATTTTTTACACGCTGAGAATGTAATATGGGTTGAATGTTTGTATCGAAGCGAAAGCTAATAATTTCACGACGTTTATCAAGCATAAAGATAATCCTTTAATACCTTTAAAAAATAATAAACGTGTTGATTTGACTGTAAATTAAGATTTAGACATGCACCCTTGCTAAATCAATGTCTGATTCGCAGCTTACTATAATGATTAACGAGTGACTTTATTAATTCGATCCGTGGGATTAGACTAGCCGTATGTACCGACGGAGGGTTGAAAAAAAAACAAACAAAATCCACTAGGGATGTGCTGGGATCTTTCAAGTCCTAGTCATTACTATTACAGGGTTATCAAATTCAAAACTTATATAGACTTATATTATAAACAGGAAAAAAATATTTGTTTTTTTTGTTTGTCTTTTTTGATAGGGTTAGAAACTACTAATCCGATTTTAAAAATTATTTTACTATATAGTAGTTACAGTAGATGTTATATAATTGAAAGAACTTTAATTTTCACTCAACAATCTTATTTAATTATCATATTTGTTTTCCATTTAGTTCCATTTTCTTATAAGCACTTCAACAACTATTATATTTTTAGGATGTAATTTATAAAGGATAAAGCATCTTTTATGGATTGTTTTTTTTTGACTGTTATCGATACTTCTATACTAATATTATAAAGAAGAAAGATTTGATGGTTTGTTTGTTTGCAACGTCTTTTTAAAAAGTCTTTTACCCACGGGAAGCTACATCTTATGTGGTGAACATAGGCTATATTTTATCCCGAAAAACATCAAATAAAGAGATGAAAATGGGACTGGAAGTTTTAAATGGTATTAAAACCATAGCAACAACTTTTTGTTATTCAATTCCCAAGTTCCCAAGGGACCACGTGGGCGAAGCCGCTGGTGGAAAGCTAGCAATATATATTTTTGTCTTTTCATTCTATAATTAATAAGGTGTCATTTTTCACCCAATAAAATAAATGACGTTAATCTACTATCTCTAATATAGATACTATCAAAAATATTCACAGTACCTACTATTCTTATTAAAAATTGGAGCCCCCTAACCAAACCTGTAATTATTATTATTATTTATAGATAAATAAATATATGTATTTGTTGATAAACATATCTATTTATCTAATAATAATAATGGGTAAAATAATTGCCAAACCACAATAAATAATTTCACTAATAAAAAAAAATATAAATAAATATTTATTTCTACTTTTTGATAGGTCTGGTGATCGGATGACTTGTTTATTTCTGGTTCAAAGAATTAATATGCCTTTTCAAAGAGGAAACGCTCGCAGCCATCGGACAACTTACCTGTTGACCATGATTTTGGGGATATTTTATATTAAGTTATTTTTATATATAGCTTATATATAGCTTATATAGCTTATGATACTATAGTTAGTATCATATAAAATACATGATCATTTATAAAGAAATTATTTAATATACAAAATAGGCGAAAATTTCCACTTGACAATTATTTTTTAAAAATCATATATTGTCGTAATGTGTCAACCCTACTAACTAAATCTCAGTGTCAACAAAGGGTCCCTGCATCGCCCCCGAGGGATGCGATTGTTTTTAATAAAATTGAGATAATGCGCTTTATATTGCAATAATAGCGATAGAACCACCAAACTGTACACTAATTATATTTTATTATATTTTTATAAGTAAAAAAAGATCAATTAAGACGCCAATAAATAAAAAAGACCAAGTGCCAGTAGGAATCGCGCAAGAAGGGAGCCGTAAAATTTTCTATAAAAAACACAAAAAATACCTTTGTTGTATGGAAGCCTATTATTTTCTTTTTTTTTTGTAATTTTGTTATAGCGGCAACAGAGACAGTAGGCCTCCCCCAGAGTGCGCCATAAACCACGATCTTCCGCTGACTTCATCTGGATGCAGTGGCTGGCCACTGCCGCCTACCTTTGTGAGGTCCTCAGTCTATCTTGCCGGGGGGCGTTCGACTCCATTCGAGAACCCATCTATTCCATCTCTCGTCGATTCTGCGACAGATGTGGATGACGGACATCACATTATTCTTCTGCCGGATGACCTCTTGTGGATTTTATCCCTTAGACTTCGAGCACAGAATTTTTCATAGAGCATTGAGCAACATGTAGACAATGGGCCAGCTTCACTGTCATGTTCCACGTTTCTGCTACATAGGTCATGACGGATGGGATGCATTGATTAAAAACCTGGGTCTTCAGGCACTGTGGCAGTGTGGACGAAAAGATATTACGCAGCTCAAAAATTTGAATTGAATTTTAGACGTGAATTTTTTTTAAATTTTCCATTATAGAAATTGTAATTTTCTATGCGTCGTCAAAAATAAATAAAAAGTTTTGATCTATGTAGATCAAGCCCTCCGCGTATGATACCTCACTTTAAGTAAGTAGAACAGCATTTCCTAACATACAAATATAATTCATATCGAATACCAATGACATTTATTTGGATTGGAAATCTCATTTCTTTGACAAAAGTACTTAAAACTATAATTTCTTATGTACATAGATATAAGAAGTTTAAGATATAAGTGCAAAACAAAGCAACACAGTAGAATATGATATGCGATAAAATATATGTACAAAACAAAATGTTATCATACAATTATCATAGATTATAGGGGGTATAATGTAGTTCAAACTAATATTAAAATTGTCATTTTTTACTATATTCCTGAGACTTCGCACTCGTAAATTATAACCTATGTTAACCCCGTATAATTTATTACCACTAGGCATAGACAAATAGGTTGGACCAAGAATTCTTAAAATCGGTCCAGTATACATTCTTTTCAGTTTAGGAACCCTTAGAATAAAACAAACAAATATGTATAATACAACATCACATACATTTCTAAAATTCCAAGATGTGTAGTGAAATTGTATCTGAAAGAACGAAGAACGAAACCACCCAATATTGAGAGTTCATTTTCTATATTGTCCCGACCAGGAACCGTTGCACCTCTAATCGACATGAAGGGACCGAATGCGGATTGGGAGCTACCTCTGCGAGTTTACTTCTTTGGGCGATAAATCAACGACCGACCATTGAAAATGAGTCATAGGAATCCGCCCGTTCGCACTCAGCATTGGGACTCAATCGATCAATATAAATATATATCTAAGATCTAATCGGTTACGATGACAAAATTCAGTAGTGTGCACAGCTCTAATGGAGAGGAATATTACAGAATTTTTATTAACCTCGGCATAATATATTTTCACTTTTATGTAGGTAAATGAGGAAACAGTCACAATATAAGTCTAATTTGTTCCACACATTCTGTTTATAATAGTTACAATGAAACTGAATATTTTAAATAATGTCTAGCATAAAAAACTTGCTTGAGTTATTCGTAGTTGTAGCTGAGTGAAGTCATGATGTACCGGAGTTCGAAACAAAACATTTTTTTTTATACTACACTTACGCTCGTGATTGTACTAACGATTAAGTCATAAAGATATTATAATTTTATGGCTTTAGAATACTTAGTAGTCACGGTCAGTTTGAAGATATTCTAATAGAAGATACACATCACCATGGGTATGTAATAACTTTCTAAGAAATATAAAAACTTTTTGATTCATAGAGACACTAACGATAAATATTTATTAGCAGGTCGTAAGAAGATTCTAAAAATAGAATATTGGATGTTTTTCATTAGCATCTGGGTTCTAGTCGTACAGAATTCTTACGCAGAAGACTTAATGTCAGCTGATGCCTGCAGCCCACTAGTGATAGCTCATCGTGGGGCCAGCGGTTATATTCCAGAGCACACTTTAGGCGCATATGCGCTAGCAGTTACCATGGGAGCCGACTATATAGAACCTGACGTTGTAATGACAAAAGACGGACACATCATCGCCAGACACGACAACCAGCTGGGTCTAACTACTGACGTCGCTACCAGACCAGAATTTGCTTCCCGATATCGAACTCAAACGGTCGATGGAACCACCGTAAGCGGCTGGTTCACCGAAGACTTCACATTAGCTGAAGTTAAAACACTCCGCGCTATCGAACGCATTCCAGGTACGAGACCGGGAAACGCTCGCATGGACCTTGCGTTTGATGTCCCTACAATGGAAGAAATTATAGATCTAGCTAAAAGTATGCAAACGATACACTGCCGTGAGATTGGAATTTATCCTGAAATCAAACATCCTTCACATTTCAAACAACTGGGATTAGCTATGGAAAAACCACTTGTAGAATTATTACATAGTAACGGCTACATAGGGAGGAATGCTCCTATTTACATTCAGTCATTTGAAATAAGTAACTTGAAAGAACTGAAAACTATGACTGACCTTCGATTACTTCAATTGTTGGGGACCTCGAGGCCCTATGATCAAATTCTGCAGGGTACTAACGTCACGTATATGACAATGGCTACTCCGGAAGGTCTCACTGAAATCGCTACGTATGCTTATGCAGTGGGCCCTGAGAAAGCTTATATTATTCCACGTACATCAAATAATACTTTAGGAAATAAGACGCAGTTCGTGACACACGCTCATAATGCTGGTTTAAAGGTACACCCTTGGACTTTCAGGTCAGAAAATGAATTCCTCCCTGCAGAATTTCGTAGCAGTCAATCACCTTACGACCCTGGAAATGCAGCAGGGGAAATGGAAGCTTTCCTTGCCACCGGAATAGATGGACTCTTTGCTGATCAGCCCGACGTGTTAGTGAAACTACGCAAGCCGTGCGTCAGTGAAATTCCAAGGTGCACATCATCAGCTTCAATAGTGACACCTTTAGTATGGATTATAAAGTTAATAGTTATCAGTGCAATATTATATTCAAGTTAAACTAAAAATCTGCAATAATTGTGAAATGATACAAAAACATATCTTATATTTAAATAAATGTGTAAATTTTTCATCATGATCATACTTCTAATTTTAATACAATACTCAATAAATGACAATTTTGTAGATTTGTTTCTCTTATGTTTTGTATTCAGATAACCATATCGGAGCTTCTTATATAACGCAATAACATTACAAACGATCTGTCACTATGTAAGTATACATACATCCATTAAAATAGCACAGTTTAAAATATCAGGAACAATTAATAGATTTTGTTAAAACCTCAAAATTTGAGTGGGATAATTTTTTTTCTGCCTCTCAACAATATTAGTAATACAGTTACTTCTTCCTCCGACTGCACAGATAAATTGTTGAACTTGTACTGATAGTACGACACTTGACTCGTATCTTTGTCATATTTTACTATACGCCGTTATCAATATTTTATACTTCCTGAGTGTACAGTCGAATATAATTTAAAAAAAATGACAAATTCACATAAAACTTTTGGTTTTCAATTGTACTATACAAATATTTATGGAATTTCGACATTAATATATATTTCTAAAAGCAATACAGTAGATATTTCTTTTCTGTCAATATTTCAATAATATTAGCATTTATTAGCATGCAATGGATGAAATACTTATTTTTTTCTTTCACTTACGGCATGCATTTTCGTATTTTTATTAAATAAGATATAATAATTATAATTTAATACAAAAAATTTCCAACTTTGTGGACAAATTTACAATATGACCCTCCCAAAAAATTTCAAAAGAAAATTTGAAAACGTTTTCCAATCACACTATTCTATTACATGGATACACATACAAACAAAATAAGGTGCTGTTCCATACAAAATATATAGTTAATATTAACTATATTTTTCTTTTATATTTTCCCAGCTTTGCAAATATTAGCTCATACTGTGATCAACCCGATAAACGAAATTAACATGATATTGATAATTTGTATAATATATAATGTACCACTTTTGATGTTTCATATAGTGCACGTATTACACGCATTTCATGCATTATATACACTAAGATTACAAATGCCTTATAAACACAACCCAGACGCTCACAACACAATTAAATACAAACAAAGAAAATAAAACTATAACTTTTTTCCTCATCATCATATTAGTTGGCTAAATTTGGCGTGGTAGAGGACGTACAGTTGCGAGTGAATACAATTAATTCTTATTTATATTAAATTCAGTTACTTGTACTCCGTGAGATTAACGGTACGTATTTATCTGGATATTTGTTTTATCTTAGCGATGTTTATCTTTATTCGTGCCAGTTGAACCTTAGAGATACAGTCGTAAATTATTTCAATAGTGATTACGACGTACTATTTGATGATATTATTAATCTTGCGACAAGTTGTGTGATCATTTCCGAGGTACAGGATTGCATAGCTAAATACAGTTCCTTGTTAAATGCAAATAATAAATTAAATATATTTTTAGTGAATTCTGTGAAGTGCCACGTAATCTCATGTTAATCTAAAAGAAAAGGCTAGGCCGCGTAATGCGGAAATTGGTGTCTTTTATTTATGTTGTCATTGATATGTAACTATTTGTGTTGGTTGTATAATTATAAAATAACAGAGCAAATACTATTTTTGTTAAATAGTTACGTTTATGAGAAGATACTACAAATATACCTTCACTAACTCCTCTTAATTTCGAATCGAATGTCTACCTTGCATTAAATAATTTTTATTTTAACATTGACAGGAAGCACAATGCTCATCGACGGTTTAGCTTGGCTTTTGGCCGGGTTCAGTGTCACCTTGGCTGTCCCAGTCTCAAGAATCTCCAAGGATGAAACTGTGAGAGTGATTAACGAATGCAACCCGTTGGTGATCGGTCATAGAGGAGCCAGCGGATACGTCCCAGAACATACTCTCGGTTCTTACGCTCTAGCAATTACACTAGGAACAGATTATGTTGAACCAGATCTAGTAATGACCAAGGATGGACATCTCATAGCTCGCCACGACAACGAATTAGGTCTGACAACTGATGTCTCCGAACATACCGAATTTGCATCACGTCATAAGAACAAGACCGTAGATGGAAAAGAAATCGAAGGGTGGTTTACTGAAGATTGTACACTAGAGGAAATTAAAACACTTCGTGCAGTGGAACGCATCCCTGGCATAAGACCAGGCAACGCAAGACTGAACGGAGCATTTACCGTCCCTACATTCCAAGAAATAATCAATTTAGTGAAAAGCTTACAAGTTAGTCAAAGTCGCACAATCGGCATTTATCCGGAAATAAAGCACAGTACACACTTCAAAAATCTGGGTCTTCCAATGGAAAGAGCAGTCGTAGACATTCTACATAAAAACGATTATCAGAGTCATGAGTCGCCCATTTACATACAATCTTTTGAAATTACAAACTTGAAGGAACTGAAAGAGATCACGAACTTAAGACTTTTGCAACTTTACGAAAGCGATTTTAGCATGCAGCCGTACGATCAAGTTGTTGCTGGTACAGGATATACGTATGGCGATATGTCCACGCCTCAAGGACTTAAGGAAGTAGCAAAATATGCCTACGCTGTGGGACCAGATAAAACGGCCATCATTCCACGCGATTCTAACAATAGACTTGGAGTAACAACTAATTTTGTTCACGATGCTCATGCTGCAGGATTGAAGGTTCATCCTTACACATTCCGTGCCGAAAATACATTTTTGCCTGCAGAATTCCGAAGTAGCACTAACGAGGATGATGTAGGGGATTTGAGTAGTGAAATAAGAGCGTATCTTAACGCTGGAATAGACGGCTTGTTCTCAGACCAACCTGATATTCCAGTTCGGGTTCGTAAAATCTGCAAATGATAATTCTGACCAGGGGCGCGACCGCCTAACTCATTGGACGTAGCCGTAGTCGTAACTATAACCTACGCTTTATCGATATTTCTTATGAATCTGTTTATATTCTTGTAAAATTAATTGTTTTTTTAATTTATATATTTTATGAAACATTTTGGTTTGTTTTTCTTTTCGAAATAGCATTGTTTTTATCAATTCGACATTTTGTAAATTTCGTTTAACTTTAATAATTCAGCAAACAAAAACAACAAAGCATTGATTAAATATGTAAATAATAAAAAATGATTAATTTTAAAACAATATCAACAGATTCATGTGTAAAACCTATAAAGCGTAGGTTATAGCTACGACTACGGCTACGTCCATGAGTTAGGCGATCACACCCCAGCACTGAGTAGTTTATTTTTAAAGAACAAGACAAAGAAATTCTGTGACTGGTGCTCATACAGATCCGATATTATTAGACGACACCTAAAATATTTAATTAATGAATCATAATAATTTCACTAGTTCGTATTAAAGACAAATGAAATATCTTAATATGTAAGATTAAGATTTTATATTGTTTATGTTGTTATTTTAGTAGCATAAATGGTATCATTTAAAATACACACGGTTGTACGCCACTTTACAATAAAATGTCTTTTTTTTAACTGATTTTAAGCGTTACACTCAAAGCAATAAGGGTTAAAATCAAGTGAAATAAACGTACTGTTGTTGAAATAAACGTAATTCGATAATTCAAAATCTAATTATTTGTTTATCCATCTTGTCATTACCAAAGTTTCGGAAATAATGGCAAGAGAATTTTCGCTATTGTTCTTTAAATGAAAACTATTTACTTTAAAATTATACAAAATATATTATTATATTAGATTTTAATAACAAGCTCTATCGTTTAATAAGTAACTTAAATGCCTACTTAATATTGTATTATCCATCTTAGGGGCTATCCACGTTAGGAGGGGGGAGGGGGGTCGACGAACTGTGACATTAGAACAATATTTAGTAGAATTTGCATAGACAAACATGAAATTCCTCTAGCTATAACTCTAGGTCTAGCCATAAGATACGACATCATAGCGAAGTTGTAGCTCTATTTCGTGTAATTTTTAAACTTTAACATAAACTACATTAAATTACGAAGAACCTTATCTCTATGCGAAGAAAAACATGTCAAAGTAGTAAAATGACATGAATTATCTTCATAATGTTTGCTAATATGTCGTATCCTATATATTTTATTTAATTCTTTCGGCTGTTTTAAATGAGTTTAAGTGACAACACATATGTGGCTATTAACTAAGATGCAAACATTTCCCTAGCTACAATAGTAGGGTAGTGTGGTGGACCAGATTTGCGCGTGATGGAAGCCGAAAAATTGTCCTGAATTACATGCAGTATAGTTTTATAGCGCAGTGGTCAGCAAGTTCGGTTTGCGTAGTGGAAGTTAAGCAACTGTGCAAGGGCTCATCATAGGGTGGGTGAGCAAAAAATTATTTATTTATTATCTTAGTAACTACGTCATAGGGGTTAACATAGGCTAATTATTATTTACGCGTGCTAAGTCGCGGGGAAACAGCTAGTTATTGTATAAAATAGTAAAAACATACTAACCTACAAGCGTCTGATTTGTAAGAAACTTGCCTAAATATCCGATGACCAGGGGTGCGACCGCCTAACTCATGCACGTAGAAGTAGTCGTAGAATGAATCTATTGATCTGAATCTGTTGATATTGTTTTAAAATCAATCATTTTTTGTTATTTACATATTAAATCAATGCTTTTAGTTGTTTTTGTTTGCTGAATTATTAAAGTTAAACCAAATTTACAAAATGACGAATTGGTACAAACAATGCTATTTCGAAAAGAAAACAATCCAAAATGTTTGATAAAATATATAAATTAAAAAAACAAATAAATATAAAGAATATAAACAGATTCATAAGAAATATCGATAAAGCGTAGGTTATAGCTACGACTACGGCTACGTCCATGAGTTAGGCGGTCGCGCCCCTTTCGATTAAGTTCCTATAACACTAATATTCCCTAATATATCATACATTCTGATTTTCTTGATCCTATTTCTTTTATTAAATAAATTTCTCAGTTGCATAAATTATATTTTTTTATCACAAATAATTATATTTTCCGTGTAATGAAATGAAAATGAGATTGATGTCGACTTCAAAATGGTGGGCCGTGGGACAAACGCTGTCTATATCGACGATGGAAAACACAAAAGGCGTATCTCATTAAAAGGTCGTAACTAGACTAAGCTTAAGGTAATAATCAGCTTTTTTCTGCGTCGATTGATCTTGACATCATTGTTCTACGATGATATGAAATTTAAAATCGAAAAAGGTTTTTAAAAATGCGCTAGTTTTTTAGAGCGTAAATGGACATAAAATAACTATTTTAAACTTTGACAGATACGACGCGAAAAGATTCTGATTCAGGAATTAAAAGCAAAAAGTAAAATATAAGTAAAAGTCTTTGTGTTGGAATCAAATTTAGATATCTCTATAAATTCGACAATATCTTTTGTTGCTGTAGCAAGTAGGGTATAAAAGTTAAAAGCTTTTTAATGTCGCACTATTTTGTCATAATATTTTTCCAGTATATGTTTTAGTTTTCTGAAAAAAATCTATTGAAACGAAACGTAAAAGATAGAATGTACTTATCTACAATTTAAATACAATAACAATATAATTTTTACCGTCATAAACTTTACTTAAACGATTTTGTTACTTAAACGATTCTGTGCGAACGCAACCATTTTTGGATTTTTTGAACTAGTTGAAAGATGTATGTAAAATGTAATTAAGTAACGCAGTTACTCTTTTGTTCTAACCATCGAAAAGAACAGAACATTTTGCTTGTTTATTGCTCACGCACTATATTATTTCAGTGAATAAATAGTTTTCCACTTTTATTTTCACTTTGTTGCAAAAAAACCATCACTTTAACGAACAAAAACTCTCTATAAACAACAAAATAGGTACTTTAAGATAATTATAACAGAAAATTCTTTACATACTCTTAAAGAGTGGCAAAATAAAAATAATATACTAATAATCTTAATAATTACGAAAGTTCCGTAAATTGCTGGTATACGGAAAAAAAATATGAATAAATAACATTTACTTTGTAATAACGCGATAACAAACGGAAAGGACATTTTTTTTAAATAAAACCAAGAGTAATAATAATATGAGAGTCATTAAATATGTAATAATATGATTGTTGATTTTTTATTAAGATAATTTAATTATGAATATAAGATTTAACATCTGATTTTTTTGCACGTTGTACTTTGCACAAACTTCATTCTAGCCAATAGTCATGTTATTATGTACGATTACCTAGTATATTTGATACATGTTGGGTAATTATCGTTTTTATTACCTTTGTTACTGATTAATAAACCCTATTTATTCATTCATCGTCACCACACATTACAAAAACATTAAAATTCGATGTGGTTTTGTTGCTGTAAGTTCAACTAATAGCAACAAAACTAACTTACCCAGTTGTTGTTTTTAAAACTTTTGTTAAATTATTATAATGAAAAATGCCTAGACCTGCCGTGGCATAAGTGTTTTATTTATAAAACAATTCCACGATAATATTATTGTATATCGTAGCTAAATTTCACTTTTAATAATTCCAAAGCATTTATTCTATTGATTTCCATAACTTTTAAAAAACCTTCTCTATGCTCACTTTTACTAAATTAGTTTCCATCTTCCTTAATACGAATAAAAAAAATATTATTCAAAGATTCGTTCGTATTAATCGAGTTGCGTTTGCGTAACTCAAACTAATTAAATTTCAACTCGATATTAAGCCGAGCTATCAAATCCATAGAACACTGACAATTCTATTCTCTTTGGTCTAACGTCGTATATATGTATGTATATCTATTAATCGACATTTATATCCTACAAGATGTGTTGCCATCTAGTGACATAAATTTTTGTAGTTTCTTCATTTTTTTTAAATACTTCCTCATTCAAAAATGAAGAAACTATAAAATTTTATGTCACTAGATGGCAGCACAAATTGTAGGATCTTAACGTCAATTCATGACGTTAGACCAAAGAGAATAGAATTGTCAGTGTTGCTATGAATCTGATAACTCGGATTAATATCGAGTTCAAATTTAATTAATTCGAGATATGCAAATGCATCTCGATTAATACAAAGTAATCTTTGAATAAATTTATTTTTTATTTGTATAGAGGGAAATGGAAACTAACATAATGGGAGTGAGCACAAAGGTTTTTTTTAATTTATGGAAATCAATTGAATTAATGCTGTGATATAATTAAAAGTAGTATTTAGCTACAGTATGCAATACTATTACCGCCAAATAGTTTTTATAAATAAAATACTTATGCCATAGTAGGTCTAGTAATTGTTCATAATATTTAACAAAAGTTCTGAAAAGTTTTATTGCTATTAGTTGTTTGTTGAACTTACAACAACAAAACTACATCAAGAATAATTAAAATTTTTATATTATGTACGGTGAATGAATAAATAGGGTTAATTAATCAGCAACAAAAGTCATAAAAAGATAATTATAATAAAAAATCCTTTTATTAGCATATACTTACCCGATATGTTACAATAATATACTAGGTATTCGTACAAAATACATGACTTCTGGCTAAAATGACATTTGTGTAAAGTGTAACGTGCAAATAACTTGTGCTTTCTAAATTAAGACTTTTAAAAACTTTGATCAGTTATTAAATCTTTTATTCATAATTAAATTGTCTTAATAAACATTGAGCAATCAACAAGAAACGTGTGTTCTAAACGAACTGTACGTGTCTTTTTGATTTTGAAATTTAAAGGTTATAACTCACAAAGACACGTACAATTATTATACTATTGCTACTGATCTTGTGTGTCGACGGCGGACGTCGAGCCATGTGTTAAGCTAATTCTTTATGTATGTGCTTTTTGGTTCTTACAATAATATTGTTAAAAATAGATTGAATTCCTATACAACCTGCTCGAATAATCAGTTTTATTGTAATAATTTGTGTTTCTTATAATATCTAACTTTCTAATTAATTTTTAATTATTTTAATCGTAAGTTTAAGTTGTTTATTATGTTACGTATAAAGGAACGATGTTTGATTGATACGTCAACAGTAGTGATGAGCGAACTTATTGGTTGCTCGTAACTTTCGTTGAATTCAGGTTTGGAATGGAGAACAAAAATAATGATGAAGATGAAGTGTCATTATGCATCCACAAAACGAATGATATTAACATAAATATCAAAATCAATTCAGTCTAGGCTGTTACATAGTACTTGTGAAAGTCGAAAACTTTACCAATGGTTCGCAAAACTAAGGCGGGAGATCTCGTACTGACAAGAAACGGCAAGAAACTCAGCAAGGGCTGCTTTTTTAATTTCAACTAAACAACTCAGCTATACTATATTTGAGGGAACGTAACCACCTAACGCACACGATACCACCGCAGAGATTTTAAGAGACCATAACTACTCTAGGTACTTAGTAAATAATATATTTCAATAAAACGGATTTCTAGAGTAGGTTGTGTAGGAAGTCAAACTATTATTAACAATATTATTGTAAGAACCAAAAAGCACAAACCCACCGTACGAATTAACTTAACACATGGCTCGACGTCCGCCGTCGACATGTAAGATCAGTAGCAATAGTATAATAACTTTGTGATTTGAAATTTAAAGTTATAACCTTGCTGTTCGTTTAGAGCAGACGTTTCTTGTTGATTGCTGAATTGTTTATTAAGATGATTTAATTATGAATATAAGATTTAATAACTGATAATAGTTTTATAATGTCTTAATTTCGAAAGCACAAGTTATTTGCACGTTACACTTTGCACAAACGTCATTTTAGCCAGCAGTTATGTTATTTTGTACGAATACATAGTATATTTGATACATATCGGGTAAGTTTATAGATAATAAACGGATTTTTTTATAATAATTATCGTTTTTATGACTTTTGTTTTTGATTAATAAACCCTATTCATCCATTCACCATACATAATATAAAAATATTATTGAAACTTGATGTAGTTTTGTTGTTGAAAGTTCAACAAACAACTAATAGCAATAAAACTAACTTACCTAGTTGTTATTTTTTCAGAACTTTTGTTAAATATTAAAATGAAAAATTCCTAGACCTACAATGACATAAGTACCTATTTTATTTATAAAACTATTTAGCGGTAATATTATTGTATACCGTAGTTAGATGCCACTTTTAATTATATCACAGCATTCAATTGATTTCCATAAATTTAAAAAACCTCTGTGCTCACTTCCATTATGTTAGTTTCCATTTTCCTCTATACAAATAAAAAATAAATTTATTCAAAGATTACTTTCTATTAATCGAGTTGCGTTTGCATTACTCGAACTAGTTAAATTTCAACTCGATATTAATCCGAGTTATCAGATCCATAACAACACTAACAAATCTATTCTCTTTGGTTTAACGTCATGAATTGACGTTTAGATCCAACAATTTGTGCTGCCATCTAGTGACATAATTTTCTGTAGTTTCTTTATTTTTTTTAAATACTTCCTCATTTACTTTTATTACGTCAGAAACAAATTTTGAATGAATATCATAAAGAAAATCCAAACATCGCGAGTGACATCTAGTATGATTTCAAGAACTAATTTTTATTTTTTAATACTTCCTTATTCGACGATTTAATAGTAAAATTTTGATGTTTTGATCCCAAGCAAGCTTGATGCCAAACAAACAAAACTGGTCACATTGATAATAACAAAAAATAATTGTTTCCATCTCGCTTTAATTAATGGAAATTATATAAAGCCACTTGATTTCCCAATAACTGAGATAGAACATGTTATTATAACTGGTATAGTTCACTTTTCTCGTTGGATTTAATATTTTACTTACTGCTCTAAGTTTAATACGTATGCTCTGATTGGTGATATTATTTAACATTTTTTTTGCAACATTTAATATCTTCTAACAATCTTACCATTTTTTGAGATGACAGGTATCTTTCAAAGAATTAGTTCAGTTAGTTTACATGCATTATCATCATCATCATCACCAGCCCTTTTATTTTGATTTTTTTGTATATTTGAATATTTCATTTTATCTTTTTGGCGTTTAGCTTAACATTGGATATTTTGCTTATAAACTTATTTTAATGAGGAAGTATTTAAAGAAAAAAGAAAGCACTAAAAAGCACCTTACTAGATGGCGACTCTAGCAAAAGTTGATTTTTGCAGGAAACGATTGGACCAAAGATAATCATTTCCATTCCTTTTAACTGACATATTAAAAAACTTGAAAGAAAACTGGAGAGGTTGTCATGGAGAAATCAAGAAAGTACAGTAGCGACCTCTAGTTTGGTTTCAGGAACTACTGTTATTTTTTTTAAATACTTTACTCATTGCTGCACAAATTTATTATAAACTTAAGACTTGTTGACTAATTTTAAATACAAAGAAACACAATTAAACTGATGGCAAGGCAGCATGATATGACTTTAGCCTGTCCTGAAGCGAACGAAATAAAAAAGCAACCGACCGACCAAATGCCGACTAATGATGTTGTGGTTGTATGACTTAGTTCCTTCGCCTGTCCCATAACGAAACTACTACTACTACTACTACTATTACTTTGTACCAATGATGTTGGGTGTTGTGTGTGAGTGACAGCTGATGACAATGACAGCAGCAGATGTGAAACGTAAAATTCGAGGCTTGTCGTCAAGAAATTCCGGCATATAGGAAACAAACAATGTAAACAGATTTTTAGGTACTAGAAATGATAAGGCAATCCCTAAAATATAGAAAAACCATCACTGTAATCGGTTTTCTGTGTCTACGTAAGTACACAACTTGATAATCTATTTTTGTTTTCTTGTGATTTTTCTTAACAACTTAGTTATTTCTTTACTTACAATTAAATTATGGTAAAAACTAAGGGAAATTTACTTCAAAATAATCGACTGGTTGAAATTGACTAAAATCAGTATGGTAATGGTAATACATACCATAGGTTATTTCCTAAAAGATCATATAAATTCATAAGTTTTGATTTAACACAGGATTTAAATAGTGATAATATTTTTATAATTTTCTGACAGTGCTGCTGGTATACTTACTTTTAATTCTTAAAAGGGATATTAATGATAAAGTCACAAGTCACCAAAGACTTAGTAAAAAGGAAGAACGTATATTTGAATCTGAACCAAAGAGAGAGAAGCATGTTAAATTAGCAAAAATGGAATTGGACAAAAATATACATAGTACAATAAAGGAGCTACAGGATGCTAAAGCTCGTATTGAACATTTAGAAAAGAAAATAGCTATACTAGAAGGAAGGATTCCTGAAAAGTATCCTGATGTTAAATATTTAGGATATAAGGAAAGAAAAAGAATTTTGGTAAGTACATTTTAATTATATACTGATTTATTAATAAGGTTGCAATTTTGATTGAAATAAAAAACACAAATATCCCATTCCCATTTAGAACAAAGGACATGATATGTAGTTTTATCATATATTAATTTGTCATGAATTGACCCATAGTTTCGTTGATAACATGTTATTTGAAACTGGTTAATCTACTAGGTTCATTCTTTTGATAAATACATGAATCACTTTGTAGCTCAAGAAATTTCCTCATGGATTCAGAAAACTGAATGCAGAGCAAAATTATGCAGAATGTAATATAATAATAATTATCTATGCTGCATTGTTGGATGCAATTATGTAGACAGGGAAAGATTTTAGCTTTTTGCCCCTCTTAATCCTCTGGTCCCAACTGCAATATTAATATATTATAGTCTTTACAACACAGACATGTGGGCTGTACTTGCTCTGTAAGGTAGGCTTGCTTATATAAGCTTGCCTAGACATAACAATTTATTTATCTAACCTTTATTTTTTCATTTGTTTCTTCCCACAGAAGAGGTCTATGGTAAGGGGTACATTATTAGGCTGATGATGATAATGATAATATTAATGGTCTACATAACTGATACTTTCAGGTGACAGGTGGTGCAGGTTTTGTTGGTTCTCACCTGGTTGATGTGCTAATGACACAAGGCCACGAAGTTATTGTTGTAGATAATTTCTTTACTGGTCGCAAAAGGAATGTTGAGCATTGGTTTGGACATCGGAATTTTGAAATGATTCATCATGATATTGTTAATCCCCTGTATATTGAGGTATATTTTATTTTTATACATTGGGTGCTTGAAATAAAGGCATTATTTCTTTTGAGTACTGGAAACTACTCTATTTATATCAGATTTTGGAAGTATTCAAAAATTTTTTAACACTATCATTTTGGACTACCCAGTACAGTTTAGAATAGTGACATCTTAACATATGTCAGATTAATTTAGTTTTTTAGTTAAAGTTTTAACCAATATAACTCAAACTAATACCATTTACCTATTTTCTAGGCAGATGAAATATATCACTTGGCTAGTCCTGCAAGTCCTCCCCACTATATGCAAAATCCTGTTAAAACAATTAAGACAAACACCGTGGGAACTATTAATATGTTAGGTAATGTATCACACAATATCCATTTTTATTTATACAATTGTTAATTGAAGCATTTTTTAACTTGTTCTTTATCAAAAAAAGAAGTAACTTTAGTAGCAGGTTTACTTTAAACCATTATCCAACCAAAATAAGACAACACAACTCAATTTGATGTTCTTCTTTTATCCTTTTCATTTTGCTTTAGGCTGCCAATGTTTTTATAAAAGAGACCTTGATATATAATAAGTCTATGATACACTTATTTTTACCAACCTACTAACTGTGGCGAAAGCTGTTCATTCACTCTGTGCAATGTATGAAAATTCCCACATTTAATTTAGTGTATTTAAGAAAAATACCGACCACTGTCGATGTTTGACAGTTACTCAGTATCTATATAGTATTTATTTTATTATAACATCTGTGAAGTTTTAAAGACAACTTTAATCTCAAATGGATGTTCTAAATTTAAGATTTTTTAACGGGATTGTTGGTTTTGTTTGTACAACAACAGGGTTAAAAGTAAAGTTGTTGCACAACAGGCAGAGTTACTTTACTATTCTATGAAACCAGAGCTGTCACAGCATTAGAGAATCAATAAAATCAAACCCTTATTACCTTTTCAATTTCTAATCCTCGACTAAAAAACATATTGTTAAATCTCTGTGTATTTATAAAGGTTTGGCAAGACGCGTTGGTGCTAAAATTTTGATAGCAAGCACTTCAGAAGTTTATGGTGACCCGATGGTGCATCCACAACCAGAATCTTACTGGGGACATGTAAATCCAATAGGTGAGTAGAAATACAAATAAATATATATTTATGATGCCTTTTAAATATTGTAAACCAGTTTTCCAAACTTTGTTTCTCATAAAATACTTTCAAAATTTTGCTGGTTCTGGTGTAACTTTCACAGCTACATTTCTTCTAAAATCCAACGCATAAAGATCCAACTTTAATGCCTGTTACATAAGCCATTATCGTTATAATTGTAGATAAAAAAAAATACGTATCTAGTAAGTTTCTATTACGGACTAAATAGATTTTTATTTTTTTAACCCGTCGCCATCCCTATTATTATAAAAAATTACATTGTGATTGTTTACATTAATATCTGACATATTTCATAATTTATTGCTGAACTTCAATATATTTTCAAAACAGGACCGCGAGCGTGCTATGATGAAGGAAAGAGGGTGGCAGAAACATTAGCTTATTCTTATGCTAAACAAGAAAATGTGTCGGTGAGAGTAGCAAGAATCTTCAATACGTATGGACCGAGAATGCATGTGTCCGATGGCAGAGTGGTGTCAAACTTTATTATGCAAGCATTGCAAAATTTAACGATCACTGTGAGTAATCACTGAGCAATCAAGAGCTTTTCTCAATAATCATTTGCTGGTAAAAATAAACGACACAATATTAAAAAAGGTAGTGATTTTGTGCTGACTGATACCTAGCGACATCTATCTCATTGAACTAACATTGCCACAACAATCGATAGCGAGACGAAATGCAAGAAGTTTCAACACCCAGTAATGAGATGGCGCTGTACATTACAAAACACTGCCAGAATTTGTTAGAGATATTTAACCTTTCCTTTACCGCGGTCATAAATCGGCGCCTCAGCACCGAATACCGTTATCGGTAATCTGACACCGGCACTTGAGCCACTTGACGCCTTTAAATTGCTCTCTCGCCGGCTAATGTAAACACACAGCGATAATAGTTATAGTTCTATGAAGCTTATGAATCACCCAAACAACTTAAAGTCATTTGATACTTTTATGATGAGTGATAAATTTATTATCGTCGTGTGAGCGAGCATTGTTCGCACGAAAGTAAATATCTGGCGGCGGTTGGAAATTAAAAGGTGTGTAATCGATAATTAAAATAATAAACATAAATAATTATATATATTTTTAATTATCAATATATAACCAATATAATCGAAGTATAAAAGACGTATGTTTCTAAAGTAAAAAATCAATAATCACGCGTTTGAAAGTAGCATACTTTCTTTCGCGCCATTTTTTCTCCTGATCTTGACACGATTTTGATATTTTGTTTGTGAAAGTATTATAACACTTACATTGTTCCTGTTTTTCTTGTTATATAGATAGATTACTGAAAAAAGACATTTATATTTTTATTCTTCATTTTTTATAAAAGTATATTTTATAGAAAGCATATTTACGATACTCTACAGAAATCGCGAATTCGTATTACAGCTAACTTTACCTAACACACGATAAAAAAATTAACTATCTTCTTACATATCTATATAGTGTAAAAAGAAACCTTTTCAATGATATATAACACATAATATAATACTGAATAAAAAAGTTTCACGTGCATACCGATCTAGGTCGTCAGTAGTAATGTAGTTCAAGGTTATTCTTATAGACGATAAACGCGAATCGGTAACCGATAATGAACTCTATTACGATGCACTAACGGCGTTTATTGTTTGTATGTTTCTGATTTGATGTCTGTTGATTTTGAAATTTCTTTACGAAATAAATAAATGAAAATGGAAATATTATATGCTAAAAATTATTTCTCGACAAATGACCTTTGTAATGATGTATGAATGTTATGATTTTTATTTGTAATATGTAGGTAAAAACGAATTTTTGCCGCGGATTACGTCATGCATATTTTTTAGTCTTTTACGAAAGAAAGTTATCTGAATTCAAAAACTATATACAAAAACGGATTCTTTGTGAAATTATCTTTATACTTATATGCGATTATTATAGATTTTTATGGTTTTATCATATAATATGAACGTTAAAAAAAAAGAGTTCGCGCGCTTTTAGACCTACGCCACTGTGAGACTCGATTTATCGAAAATACGTAATGAAAACACTTTTGGATAAGTTTATAGCAAAAGAAACATTCTAAAATAGTAATAATATAACATTTTACTTACATTTATTACAATAAATTTCCAGAATCACTGAATTACCGGCACTTTAACAACGACAGGTCAGTCACGTACCAAGGAATTCGCGCCATTGGCTAACGGTCGGTTTTAATTATTTTTTTTGTCTTTCGTTTAAAGAGTGAGTCTAGTTTAAGAATTTAAATGAATAGGTCATGTTTCACTCTATTGAGAAAAAAAATTACCATACGTATTCTACACTTATTTTAATTGTAATAAAGGTTTTTCTAGACCTCTGACCGCGCGCTTGTATACAAGCGCATGGTAAACGGAGCACTTTTTTTTAGCGCTTGCATGCAAGCGCGTGGTAAAGGAAGGGTTAAGAATCTTTAACATAAAATTACTTAATCTTCTTAAATCAAAATTTTTGTAAACATTTTAAAGTAATTTTAAAGATAGATGTCATGGTACACATAATGTAGGTTATTTAATTTAAAACTGCTGTTTTATTATAAACTTGAAGCCAGTACATTTTCTACTAAGGATTGAGCTACATCTGGTGGCACGGTATCGAATTCTCCCATCACCCTTTCCTCTTCAGACGCTCTTAACAACAGAATACGGATTAACGAGCCAAGTACTAGTCGAACTCGCGCTCGAAGTATTCCACACTAATATCTATAAAAAACGAAATAAAACACATATGGAACTTCCCCTTAAATACTTATTTTATTACGATTTCCCGTGAGGGCATGTTGAATTTAATTGTAACACAATATTTTCAGGTGTATGGTAATGGGAAGCAGACTCGTTCGTTCTGCTATGTATCAGATCTGGTAGATGGGCTATTATCTTTGATGGCATCTAGTTATACTTTACCGGTGAACCTCGGAAATCCGGTAGAACATACAATAGAAGGTAAATTTATGTCTGTCAGACTGGCAGCGCCATCCTTTTTGATTTTGGAATGAATTCTTGGCCCATTAATCCCTTATTTGTCAGTTTGTTTCGCAATCGGAAAAATAACAAAATTACGTAAGTATCAAGAATTCATTTCCAAATCCAAGTGGGTGGTGCTGCTAGCCTGACGTACACGGTTTTATTTAAATTTATTTTGAATATAAAGTCATTATGTATGAGTTTTAATTGTAAAATTATATCAACTACGTTGAGTTTGAAAAACAGAATTGAGAACATAATTCTTTTTGTCAGAGTAACTTGCATATCGTCACAGATATATAGAAATTCAAACAAAAAAGAATGTTACTTCACTATCGTAATGAAGTATAATTTTTTGTTTGAAGTCAAGCACAATTTCGTCATATTAATTGCAAATAGAATAGTTTCTATATATCTGTATATTAGTATATACATGTATTGTCTTTGTGCCAGAATTCGCTATGATAATAAAGAATCTAGTCCCGGGTTGCCGCAGTACTGTGGCGACTGGCGCGGCCGTGGAGGACGATCCGCAACGGCGGCGACCCGACATCGCGGTGGCCGAAGCAAATCTCAGATGGTCGCCGAAGGTAAACCATATTATGGCAAAACCAGCGAACAGAGACAGTTTCGTATAAATGAAATACAAATCTGTATCTGTCAGACTGGCAGTGCCACCCAATTGGATTTTTAAATGAATTGTTTGTCCTTCTATTCGGTTATTTGTCTGTTACGGAATAAGAACAAATAGCCAAGTTACGTAACTTCGGAGATTAACGAAGGTCTTTGTGGTCTAGGCTAGATGTTCCCAATTTTTTCTCGTAGACCATTTAAAAAAACTGGTTTCGGTGGACACCCTGCTGCTACATTTTTACCATATTCTTAAAATTCGTCCAAAATGTGAAGATCTAACGATGGATATTGGCGTCGCGGGTGAGTTCCGTAGACCCCCGTTGAATCACCTGGACCACTTAGGGAATCACTGTGCTAGGATAATGTCAGTCCGGCAGCGCCACAACTAGAACTCGAAATTTATAATAATTCAAAAAACTTTCCGGGTTTACCTCTTATTTGACAGTCCGAGATATAATAGGGTAGTTTCGGTAGTAAAAATAAGTTACGAAATTGCACAAAAATATAGTAATATCGATTTTAAGTTAATGAAAAACTTACTAAATAAAAGTGATGATAAATCTTATAACTACTAAATTTAATATATTAGATATGTATTTTTGCTTCAATTCAACAAGAAATAGCTAAGGTAACAGGCATTAATGTTGAGGAGTGGGGGCTAGTGATGTACCGTGCCCGAGTACACTGCCAAGGACTAGGCAGCACTCCTAAAGTGGGAAATAAATTTTCTTATATTTTTTAAATATTTTATTTGACTTGAAAGGATTTTATGATATTCTAGCACTAGAAACAAAACTAGGGATTAAAATATCATATTAACAAAAATTCCCAGAAAGTTGCCAAACTTTACGGCAAATTTCCGAACAGTATTTCCAGTATATTGTCAGCAAAATTCCCAATGAACTATCCAATGGTGAGTAGGAAAGCAATTACTTATATAATACAAATTAATTACTGGAGTGAGCTCTTTCAGTGGAGCATTCTGTATTCATGAATATGTTTTCTTTCATTTAATGTTTCCAATAATTCGCTATTTAGTAGATATGCTTACTCTTTTTGTAAGACAATTATTGAAATGACCTCAGAAGTAATTTTAAATAAATTATTATAAAAATCATACCATCAATTCAATCACTCATCAGATATAGTTAAAATTGTGCATAATTATAACAAGGACAATCAAAAGTATGCCATGTCATATTTTGTGTCAAGAATTTACACGAATGGTCAGTGAACCTCTTTTTATGTACCCACTGGTTCTCCTATTCAAAGGCTCCTCGATTTCTACAGTTTAGTTAATTAAATGTATCGCCTATACTTAACACGAAAAAATCTACTGGGCATTTTCTGCAATATCTCTAATATGTCCGGTAATTTACCAGGCACATTGGGAATAGAAAATTTCTAGCCACTGCTAATAATATTTCCAGATGTACATCACTAGTTTATCGCTACGTCAGAGCTTTGCAGAAAATGTACAAAAGCGTGACGTCATGTGACATTTAAACTCAAAAAATAAAAAGATACGTGTTTAATGTTCTTTTATAATCTGCCTTACATAGAGACAAAATAATATTGTCATCATACCTAGGTTTTTTAATTATTAGAATTATTATATAGAATTTGTTATTGTAGCAGACTCTGTTATCGCCGATTTTAAAAATATTAGTCAAGATTCATTATTTTTGAAGAACGGTAATGACGGATGTATCAAATCGAAAGTTCGGTTTCCGCAGAATCGCCCCCTTCATTATTATTATTTAACACTTTATTGCACACATAATAATAACAATTTACAGAGAATTTATGGTTTTAAGTGGGCAAAGGCGGTCTTATCGCGATCTCTTCCAGACAACCTCAATTATCGGAACATGTAAAGAGAGCGGAGGTAGTAGGTAGTATTACAGCTTTTAATGTAAATTAAACAAATAAATAACAACCATAGTAAATCGCAAAAAAATATATACTAATATTGCCACATAAACAAATAAGAACATCAGTGTGGTAAAAAAAACCGCTTTATATCGAAATATTTATTTGAAACCTACCAATGTAATACCTCAGTTTATTTCAAACCTACCAATGTATGCCGCCATTTCAAATCATTTTTTTTCATTAATATAATTGCTTCCGTATTACGAACTTATTCCCTATTTTCAGTGAAAATAAACATGTTAATGTACAAACTAGAGTGCTTAAGTGGTTATCACTACATAGTATAAAACAAAGTCACTTTCTCTGTCCCCTATGTATGTTTAAATCTTTAAAACTACACAACGGATTTTGATGCGGTTTTTTAATAGATAGATATTGAATGATAGTGATTGAAGAGGAAAGTTTTAGTGTATAGTAAGTTTAGGTTATTTACAAACTGACGATATTACTTCAATATGTCGGAAAAATAAAGCCGATCGAAAGCTTTCCTCGAAAACGCTGCCAAAAACTTTTGAGTTATGATAACTCATAATTATATTTTTTTATAAAATAAAATTATGAGTTATCGAAAAAAAAAAATCTCCGGGCGAGCTATTAAATATCGATGAATAAAAATGAATCGCCGAAACGTATGTAAGCGGATAACTTCCGAATTCCAGTTCCAACTGCACGAAATTGTATGATTCTATTTTTTATGTGTTCCACAATTTGTATATAAGATTTAAAAAAAAAACGTGTATGGGCGATACGAAGTTCGCCGGGTCAGCTAGTCACATCATAAATTAAGCGATTCCTTTGTTATGCCGTGATTTGTGTTTCATCTCAAATAAGACAAAATGAACTATACATTCTGTTACTTAACTTAAATAGTATTATTTTTCTATAAGTTTGGTCCATATTATGTGTTTTATATGCTTCTTAATCAGAGGTTTACACAGAAATGTATATGATACATACAGCTATAGTAAAATGGATTTGATCTTAAGTAATAAGAATTTGTAAATATTAAAAAAAAACTATTAAATTTGTTTACAGGTAACTCTAAAAGACGGACTTCAGAGAACAATTGACTATTTTAGGGAAGAATTATCCAGGACGACATTTTACAATAATCAGACGTACATGGACATTAATGTAAAACCTCACAATTAGAATAAAATTACTATTCCTGTAATAAATGTGATACTAGACTGGCGCCAAAAGGTCTTAGGAGTGTTTTGTATAATCTTATAATTTTGTTTATTTTTTATGTTTGCAGTGAATTTTTCAAAATATTTTGTATCTCGTTTTTTATTGAATCGCTTTGGATCATCCATAAGTGTTTAAATGTCGAAATTTTTATATTGTGTTAAATTGTTTATAAATTAAAATTTACATTATTTCAATAATGTTTTAATTTATATGTGTATCTGAATATAAATAGTGACTAGAATAAAAAAAATTATCTACAACATTTACTAGGAAGTACGTTCCAATTATAAATATAAGATTGTCTGTTTAGAATTTCAGTCTTGCATAATTTCTCCCCATGCGAATTAACTAGTGATTTATACATTTGAAACATGTCACTGGATGTTTGTTTGTGTCTCACTAGCATGTTTTCACTGCAACCTCTGGATTTCCATTCAGAGTCAAACCTTAAGTCGTGAACTCTATTAATACCATCAAGCGCAGCTGTCCAAACTCCCATAGAAACATCTTCAGAGTTATAGAGGCTGAAATATACAAAAAAAAAAACTATGAATTCTCTTAATTTTAGGGGATTGTGATAAAGATAAGGCCTAGTAAACTAGTAAACTGCTGAACTTGAATTGGCCACTCAATAGACCTGACTAGTGCTATCAACATCCAACATCATAGCCTTTAACTCTGTAAGCCACTTTCTATTATTGCTTCTGTTTATTTAAGAATTTTTGTTTTTATTGTATACATATTATATTTGTTAAGTTTAATAATTTTTATGCTGATAATATCAAAGTTAATTTTATGGCAACAGTATCAGTTGTTTTGCCTATGACATAATTTAATTATAGTAATTGACAGCCAAATCAAGTAAACAGCTAATATTCCTCATTTATATATTGCATCTTAAATGGAAATAAATATTCAGTATGGTGGTTTCATTTCAAAATCAAAGTCATTATAATATCATCACAAACTTATTCATGTCCTACTAGTGGTTTGGGTTAATAGGAAGAATGGGCCATAACTAACTAACAGATGTTGGCATCTGCAGTTACAGTTATAACTTAACGTGGCTTCTGAAACACAGAGGAAGACATCATATTAATACTGACATGGCTTATCTAACCTTTTTTATTGATCGCAAACCAAATGTCTTAACCGCTGTGCCATTGAACCATGGTATAATCTTATTCTAAAATATATAGGTAGTATAATGTAATACCTGAGAAAATCTGAGTTTTGAGCTATATAGTTGACTATACTTTTAGATATGACATAGCCTCCGCCTAAAGCATAAGGTAAGTATGTATCACATAAAAACCAAGATTTCTCTTTCCATTTTCCTTTTGACAATGTTTTTGCTCTTCCATCAAAATAACCCCAATATAAACCTTTATATGATGGAAGGACAGTCTAAAAAAGAAAAATTAATATTAAAATAATTTCTTATATAGCATTATGAGTGAAAAACTTAGATTATCATACTTTAAATGAAACATATTCTTTCAATGGCTGGCCATTCATTTCTGGAGCAAACGTCTCTAGATCTTTCACAATCAAATCAATTCTCACAAAGGAATCATCATCACATTTGACTAAATATTTCAGGCCCTTTAAATGATCATTAAACCATTTCATTGAATAAAGAACTTTGGTTGATAACATCCTGTAACTATCATATAAATCTAAAAGTATGAGATCATCATTTCTGTGCATTTCCAATTTCAATTTATGCAATTTATCTGCCTGCAAACCATCAATTCCTACTGCAAAGAAGACTTTAATAAGGGGTTGCTTTTTAGTCTCGCCAATCCATGTATGATTCCATTTGTAAAGTGTTTCACCATTTTCGATGAATATATTCTCAGCAAATTTTGCCCATGTTGATCGTATAACATTACGTCTTTCTTCATTTTCAGGACCTGTTAAAACTAGTACAGCATATTCTATATCGCCTGGTTTAGCGAGTTCGCCCTCTGTACTAATAGGTACTACATCAACACAATCTAATCTCAAGAAGCTAAGAGTTAATCCACAACCAATATAAAAGAAGAAAATACTGACAAGTATCATACTTTTATGCCTTTTTATTAAGATTAACATCTTTCACAATAGTTGGATAAATTAGTGTCTGAAGTGTGAATCCAACAATCGTGTAAACAATTTATAACAAATTCATATTCTTAATAACATAAATGTTATTATATGATTCAAGCGATACAAAATAATGAAGATTTCTTAATTTATTTTCTTGCATTTTTAAAAATCACTGACAGATTTTATACAGCTGCTATATTATATTTTTATTTATACAAAATCATTGCGCATAGATTTGACAGTAGATTTGTTCCTTGTTCAATACGACTAAAAGACATTAACACGCTGAAGAATAAATGCTAGGAAAAATTAGCGTGTTAATGAGGTAGTATAAAAAAAAACATTCGTTCCCGAAATCAAACTAGATATCGCTATGGTACTTTCTTGATTTTTCCATGACAATCCTTGCGGTTTTCTTTCATGTATAAAAGTAAATTAATTTTCAAAATTCAATAAACTGCACGGGTAGCATGACGAACTCGAGAACGTTTTGTCTACACTGAAATGTCACTTTTCTCGGGTGCGCTCATACAACAACTCATTCTCGACCCGAGAAAGTGACATTTGGGTGTAGACAAAGCATTTCTCAAGTTTGTCATGCTACACGTGCAGCTCTATTTGTACTTTTTCGTATTTGTATTGATATCTAAGTTTCGAACTTTGCAAATTTAGATTTTTGATCCATTCGATTGCTACAAAAATCAACTTTTGCTACGGTCGCCATCGAGTGAGGTGCTTTTTAGAGCTTTCTTTTTATAATATTTCCTCGTTATTCCATTAATTTATTAACGCTCTAAGTATAGGTATAATAAAAAGGGTGCGCGAGAAACGTATACATACTTTACAGCGTTAAGTGCTAAGTACGATTAACGTGTTAAATTAACACGCTAAGCGCTTATGTAGCCACCTCTAATTGACAGCATACAATTTTTTTCAAAGAGTAAATTATTTAATTTTTTCTTTATGACGTTGATTGACAGTGACAGTGTAGTTCTAGCCAGCCAGCAGCTGCGGCGATCTCTAAACTAGAAATGTGAATTAGGTAGAAAAAAACTCAATTCCGGTTTATTATTTTTTATTAAAAATATGTATAACGGCAGCTATTTTATTCAATGAACTGACTGATTTTAAAGTATACCATTTCGTTCAACTATTTGATTGAATGTTTTACAATATCTGCCATATGGGATATTCACTTACTTAACTTTATAAAAAAATTGTTTCCAAGCTATTTTGATTTTACATTTCCATCGGTTTTCCGTTTCTCATTTATGTTTTCTAAAATGAGCGATGTTGACAGGTGTATTCCATCTCTGTAACATTTTTACTTAATGACAAAAATGAAAGCACTAAAAAAGGACCTCATTAGATGGCATTTCTACCAAAAGTAGATTTTTGCAGGAAACGAATGAACCAAAGATAGTCATTTCAGTTCCGTTCCGTTTTAACTAGAATTAAATTACTGAAATTTGCAAAGTTCGAAAATTAGATATCAATACAAATACGAAAAATTACAGATAGAATATCTAAGAAAACCGGAACGGTTATCATGGAGAAATCAAGAAAGTACCGAAGTGACATCTAGTTTGATTTCGGGAACTAATGTTTTTTTTTAATACTTCCTCATTGTTATTATGACAGTGAGGAGCTCGATAGCGCGCTCGGTTTGCCAATCGCAGAAAATTGTAAAATGAGGAGTCATACTAGTATGTATGACTCGTGCATGCAAGTATGATCTTTAATTTCTTTGCAATAGAGTAGAAAATCTCGTAATTTATAAAAATATAGGTGGATTAAGTATTTAGAAATATATAACAGGTGCAGCCTAGTATTGTAAAATAGCTAGTAGATGGATGTGTTCTAGTAAATACGCATCACCCTTTATCAGCGATACGGTTTTGCACAAGAACTATCTTAACTTTGACTTTTATTCACTTTTTTGGCTTTTTTTATCGCTTCCAATTTGAAACTGCTACTGGCACTTTTTTTCGACTTTCAACTTTAGGGTTTCGGAATCATCTTCCCAATGGGGAAGGAGGCGGTTTATACCTCATTGGATACCTAACAGCCGGCTATGGGGTTGTGTCAGACATATAAATACGGCCTTGAACAGTTGGTCGCGTCCCCTGAAGGGGCAACGACTCTTCGACCGGAGCGATCGCCCCTCCGCAAGACGGGTGCGCGAGGCTCTGGCACCGAAAGTACTTGCACTTGCTAAGATACAAGGAATAGGGTATTTGACACTATCGAAAATAAGTTGCATTTTGTGGTCATCCTGATAGATAATAATCTAATAAAGCTTATTTCTTAACATCTGCAGAAAAAACATGTTTAGATTTAGTAAAATAACGTAAAGAAAATGCAATATTTTTAGGAATTTATTCAACGACGAAAACGTCCTATAATTGGTCGTCGTCACAACCAATCACGATTCTGTTTACTGGCCTGTGACGTCATCGGCTGTCATGTCAAAGTAGTGATAGAAAGATACATAAAATATCGATGCCTGTAGGTATCGAGTACTTTATAGTAATTTACTGATAACAGAATACTTTGCCGTTTCTGCTGATAAGAACTGCCAAAAAGAAATACAGAAAGAAATAATTATTTACTAAGCTTTTTAAAAAATCCAAGAAATAAGGAAAACGCCAGCAATAAAAAAAAGAGCAACTTACATGTTTTTCTCATTTCTTGAACTTTAATATAATAATTCAAAATTACAAAGTCGATTTTGATGATATATACTGTTCTCCAAGTTAAAAACTAATAAAAAAAATCATCGGGATTTGTCTAATTATCAAGTGCCATTCATTTAATGGACAGACATACTACATGCATTTATAAAAAAAAGTACATTCTTTTTCGTAATAATGGCTCATCCATCTGTAGGTTGACAAGCTGTAAAGTGCGTACCCTGTCAACAAATATAAATGAGTCGTAAAATGTTTATGATATAGAAAAAAAAAACAAAAAGAAAACCTTCAAATGTATCGATATAAAATAAAAAAATATTAGTACATTGTGGCACTACGCACCACTTGCAGCTCATTTTATAAAGAAAAGTAGAGGAAAATAAAAAACGTAAAAAATACGCACTACGACTTCAATTTCTCTTCTAAATTATTATTTCAATTTACTATAAGGACAGTTGTTACTTATCGATTTGACATATTTACTGGCCTGTGACGTCACGATCAGCGCCATCACATAAAGAAGCGTTTTTCGCGCGATTTTGGCTATTTAAATTTTAACAATTATTTTCACCAAAAATGTGTGTTTATAATGTGTTTATAATGTAGCAAACAATGAATTAAAATAGTTTTCAGAAATGTATCAAATACCCTATTCTCGGAATCAATACCAGTCCCGAAATGAGGAGTTTGAGTACCACGAGATGGAGTTGTTGCTTTGAAAACGGCCAAGCAGTACTCACCAATTTCGAGTCCATCAAAATGGCTTTGAATGATGAAGTGATAGTCGTGATAAAAATGCAGTAGAAGCTCTAGGGCTGCTAACAACTATAAATAAACTAGAGTTTATCAAAGCCTTATATATATTTCACTCTGATCTCGCTACTGTTAATATTCTGAGTAAATATTTTCAGACCAAAGATGCAACTTTGACTCAGGCCAGTGACTTAATAGTCAGCACAATTCTGACCTATGAAATATCTAGAAACCAATTTAAAAATTGGGAGGAGATAGAATGGTTTGCAAAAAAACATGACATTTCTGTGGTACCTGTCCGAGGATCAAAAAGGAGGCCACAGGAAAAGGATTTCCATATTGAGGCAACAGCTGGAAAGAATAACATCTTAAATTTGCCGACAGACACTCAGCCCCGTGACTACTGGAAAATAAATATTTATAACCAGGTATTGGACAACATCATTGCCAACTTCAAACGGCGGTTTAAAAATATCCTAATTGCCAATGCGGTAAACGTTTTCCTGAGCTTAAATATGGTGAGTGCAGATGATTATTAAAAATCATAAAGATATTTTACAAACCGATGAAGAAACGTTGAATGTCGAGGCAACGGCAGTGAAAAACATGTTAATGTTCCAAAAAAAAAGTAAACGCAGAAAACTTAAAAAAATATATAAACACTATTACAGAAATTTATATAATCTTCTTCAAGCAGCATTAAATCGTTGTAAGTTTCGCTAGTTGAGAAAGAAGTTTTTCTGCAATGAGGCGAATAAAAACTTGGTTGAGATCAACTATGCTCCAGAATCGCTTCTCTCAACTATCTTAAGTAAATATAGAAAATGAATTGGTAAAAATTCAATAACACCAGAGGCAGTCTTATACCGGTTTAGCGAAAAACACAGAAAACTTATAATTTTTTGGAACATTTTTTCTTGTTTCAAGGCATGGAGTGAACAAATTTACATATTTTTGATAGCTCTGTTTTTTGGTTTGTAATATAGAAATAACATTATAGTTAATAATAACATTCTACCTATTTGATTTACCTTGTTGTTGGTAATTTAAGAGCGAAGCTCATGTCGGTGTATACCTAGCTATATTAGCGACTTAAAATACAAAGTTATGGTCACGACGCAAATGAAGGATTAAGTACAAAATAACTGAAATCCTTAGATGAGGCCTACAATAGTTGACATGCGCTGATAGTCAGTGACCACCAGTGTTGCCAACCCCAAGAAACTATAAAACGACAGTTTACAAATAAATAACTGCAGGAAACAATAGATTAAATAAAAAAGGCATATTTGAGTGTCTATATGTATTCTTCATTTGTATGTTTTTCATGACCACCGTCTTTTCTATGTGCTGTGGTCGGAATTTCTTCGAAACCCGATAGGAGTAGCTACTGCCCTCTAGTAGAGTCTTTGCGTTTTTTTTACACGGTGGTTAACAAAAATATATGCATAATGTGTGTAATAGGTGACGTTAAATTCTCAGTGATAAACAGTCATAATCAATGTAAAAACAGTAAATCTACTGTTAAATCAGTAGAGTTGGTGACACTGGTGACCACTTTGCTATAGCCGATCGATTCATGGCTGGGGCCATGGCCCTCCCCTACGTAAATTCCCTAGCTACGCCAATGCTTATTATGTAAAAGGAATAATTAAGAACTATATTGTAAAAATAAAAATTGACCAAATATAATAATTTGAACAAATTCTCATCTTCATCGAAATTTTTAAATATTTCTTTCGACTGTTTGGATTGCCTGAACGTTAATGAAAATAAGCTTTGTGGTAGCGAAAAAGTAATTAGTGCTTTAAAAATTCGTCAGTGCTGTCAGGTCTTGGGTAACTCAGTGATTAGCAGTCTCCCTAATTGCAAAAGGTCATAGGTTCGAGTCCTATCTCAGAGTGCCAAAGACAAAATGGCTTTTTATTAAGAATTAGAATTTAAATTTAAAATAAGAATATTTATCATTATGGACGCATAATTCGTAAAATATAATAATTAAAACCATTTTTCAAAATTAGTCAAATACCCGAGATGACTTGATAACTTGAGTGCATAGACTCGATTGAGATTTTTTTTCACTCGAGTACGAGTTTGACAAATCTCTCCAGTGACTCAAGTCACTGGAGGCTCGAGAATCCCATTACTAGTGTCATGTATTAGACTATCCATAGACATAAAAGAAGAGGACCGGCCATACCTACGAAAAAAGCGTATATGCCTAAACTTTAAATGCAAATTCTTCGATGGCGGACTGTCATAGGGCACGGCCCATGATATCGATATTTGTATCGACATTGAAGTCATATTAAATAAAAGTTAGTATTTCGTGAAATTGCTACAAAACAACTACTTATTAAATAAAGTAATATAATTTCCATTGTTAGGGGCATGGCTAAACTATTACCTATTATACTTCTATTCGTTTCACACTTACGTACCAATCCTATTTATGATTATTATTAATTAAATAGATAAATTCACGCCAGTTTTAAGAAAATAATATTTTGTTAAAAGTGGCGTGAATTTATCAATTATTTATAAATCTTTAAGCATACTTTTGCTCGTGTTTTGTTGGACATCTAAAATTTCTTGCGTTCTTTGTTCTTGCGACTCCGTTGCGTCAGTATAGTAAATATAACCTATGTTACCAGCGTATGATGGCGCTTCCCACGGGTAAAAGATTATTCGTATTCCAAATTTCATCAAAATCCGTTCAGTAGTTTTTACATGAGAGTATCCTACATCCATCCTCACAAACTTTCACATTTATATTATTCAATAATATAATTTTATAATATGATTGTACCTCAATAAATATGTTTCTTTTTCCTCTAAAATAGCCAATTTTACATAGTTTTAAGAACTATAGTACCAAAATATATATCTTAAAAGTTTTACAATAATATCAATCGTGTTTTATAATTATTTCCATATATATTGTCAAGTTGACATTTTGCAATTATAATTAAATAGTTTTTTTAACATAAGTTTAATTTGATAACTACCACGGTAACTATAATAAGCTTTTAATGAGTCGATTGACGAATGAATTATTATGTTTTTTTTGTCTGTTATATATTTTTTATTGTTTCGGTGGAAAGTGACATTTTGGTTCAATGAAGTCATTTGTTATTTTTCAGTACGAAATTAAACAGGGTGCAAAAGCAGCCCTTGCAGTTTCTTACCGGTTCCTTTCTTACAGTTTCTTCTTTTCTCGGTACAAGGTTTCCCGTAATAGATTGCTGAACTATAAGCACAGAGTTTCGACTTTCTTATATGCTTGTAACTAGTAAGCCAACTTGTCTATAAATTTATTCAATAAATTGTTTTGACTGAATAAATTTCGCTTACTCCTCATTAAGTGAGATACCGTGCGTACTGTGTCACAATTTTAGTTCAGAACATCTTGTTTAGTAGTAAACATAGAAAACTTGAAACACCTACATAATCTTTGTATTATATTATTGGTAAAAGAACATAAAAATACTGTAAACTTTGATGAATAAACGAGAGAAAATAAAAAAAACAAAGTTGGTGATGAATAAGTAACAATTGGCATAACAGTAACATTATTAAAGAAGTAACAATTGGCATTTTATTTAAAAATTTGGTTAGCAAGAAGAAAACAGCCGATTAATCAAGCATACAAATATTTTCTCAGCACTAAAACAGTCTGCAGTTCATGTTCTGTGAACAATCATGATAACGGTCAGCAATTTAAATTCAAAAAGGTAGCGTATTTTATGATGCATCAGCAAAATAAACATCCACGCCGCAAAATAATTATTTGGGTATTAAGATTATACTATTGAACAGCAAAGAAAACCTTTAACTATGCCTTTAATTTGATAAGTGTGCATATTTTAATTTTTATTAAAATTATTTAACTCATTTTATTGTATATTTTACTGGGAGTATATTATGATCAGAATTTTATATTTTAATATTATTATATATTGCATTCTGATTTTTTTCAATTAAAATAATCGCCATATGACCGCAAGACTAAAAATAAGGTACATTTATAGAATAACAAAATGACTATATAAAAAACTAAATAAATAAATCAGTAAAATCAAATGAAAATTAACTAAGTGTAATAGACATTTTTTTTTAAATAAGTTAAAAGCAATTGTCAAAAATTCTTACCAGAGTATTTGATTGGCAATGCATCATCTCGTAATTTTATTATATTTAAAGTTCGATTCAAACAACTTTCCCTAAAATGAAGTGAGCAGATAAAAGTAACTTTTTCATTACATTTAATATTTTCTTCTTCTATGTAACTCGGCCATTTTCCTCTTTTGTTTCATCTTTTGGTAATCTAAAATAATTAATATATTTTTAAATATTAATATTATCGATATAAACCATATGTTAAAGTAACGACACTAGCCATGTAAATAATATTATTTACGGACCGAAATATTATAAAAATATAAACGAAAAGAGCAATATAGCATAAATAGAACACGCCAAAATACGATATGTATCGATTTATACACGCAATCATTTTCAGAATAACTTACTTACGTTTTAAATACTGTTATTCTAAGAAAGTGTTTAACTTACCGGTGAAACGTAATATTGCTCGGTTTGCGGGATATTGATGACGCACAACCAATTATACAGCACCTAGGCATTGTTTTGCATAAATAATTAACAATTTTTTGCCATGAAAGTTATATAAATTAAAGTTATAAATGAAAATAACCACAAAACTTATAACACTGACAGCTGAACTACTTCCGAGAATACGCAAAGCAAATTTGCAAATGGCTGACAGGTGGTACGATAGCTGTATCTCATGACGTCACGTAAAAAATTTTGAACTGTCACACTAGTGTTATCTTTGTTTACTAAAGAAACTTCTTATTAGTTAAAAAAAGACAACATGATGTTTTTGATGTCAACTTCAGATTGCATGATATTTATATAACCAAAGAAAATATTTCCACTCTACCTTACTCTATGAGACTATCAGACTAGTCTTTTGTGTCAGACTGACGTACCTGTCAAAGTAATTTTTAGGATTTTTTCTTTCGTTTTCTACAATAGTTTTCTTTCTGTAGATTTGCTTGCTTGGTTACGTACTGTTACGTACGGTCGTACGGTACGGACGCGAATCGACGCGGTTTCGCTTACTAGATTTGTTTTATCCTCCTTTAAAATTAATAACTACCAACGAATAACCATTCCTGATCTTGCCAGCTAAGTAAACTTAATGAACATTATTCCAGTGATCAAACCCTGTATTTCTAAAGTTTATATCCTTTCCTTAATTAGTTTGGAGTGAAGTGTTTTTTTTATAATTGTGGGTATTTTTAATTACTAACCTGTTATAAAATATATGAAGTGATTTAGAATTTAAACCAACCCAAAACCAGACCCAGTGCTTACGAGTAATATGTTGTTTTCATAAGAGACCGATCGTCAGTCATCGTTTCCCGGTCATCAGAATTGCAAAGGTATTTACTATTAAAATATATATTTATTCTAATGTTGTCAATTCTATATAGTTTTTTCTATTAAATATTTATTTTTTTACATGATAAAATGCATAATAATTTATATATATACTTCTAACCTATCAATGCTTTTTTCGTCTTGGTTTTGATTATTACAAGTACAATTTACTAACTCTAAAAGATTGTTTGTGGGTATTTAAAAAAGCACAACTTGTTGAGTTTCAAAAAGGTTTTGTTTTAGAAATGGAATCATCTAAGAAGAAAGGACGGCCAGTTCATCCTAGATCTAGAGCTAATCCACTGTCAGCATTAACATTTGCGTGAGTAATTTTTTTTTTTGAAATTAAAATATTTAACTTTCCATTAAGAGGATGTATCTATGTTAAGGAATAGGTATGCTATTTTCCTATATGTTTTTCATGTTATACATGTTTTTCAATACATTTATCAATCTAATAGAGTAACATTACCAGGCATGTATTACATGTGGCATTTCATAATTAAATTATTTAAAAAAAAGGTTGGTGGTCTGTGTAAATGATAATATATTATTAATGGTCCTGACAGATGGACTCTTCCTATGTTCTGGAGTGGTTTAAGAAAAGAACTCGAAGAACATGAACTGTATGAACCTTTAGAAGAACACTCTTCAGGTAAGTGTATTATTTATATTTTATATTTTATATTTCAGGTTTATTTGTAATAAAAGGAACTTTTAAAGTACAATTTATAAATCATATATTTCAATTGGGAAATATCAATAAAACAACATATTTTAATGTCAGGTTGCAAACACAAAATAGGGTCTCAAGAATTTTCAAAAGTTTGCATAGTAATTGAGTACTTTCTTTGTATTTCAATGACTCTATTATTTTCAGTACTGATACTTCTATAATTTTCAGTAGATTAGCATTGCACAGTAGGGATTTTAGTTTTTTTTTTTTTGTAAAATAAAGAGGTTATCTCTTCCTATGTTGATATAACAAACACTTAAAATGTTTCTCTCACAACAGTAAATTTTTAATCACCCATTTAATAATGGCATAAGTAAGTAGTCAAGCGGAACATACTAACCACTGCACTATCAAGCAAAATTACATAATAGTTCTTTAGATTATGTAGAGATGTTATTACAAAAATATTAATAATTTGCTAACCAGTGAAATTATATCCATTGCTTTGGTATCTATTGTTTATCTAAATGAGATTTAATGTGAAAAATATTTGACCTTGATAACGAAGGAGAATAATATACATATTATATTGTTACTTAAAAATACCAGTACAATGAAAAGGCAAATATTCTATTTATACAGTTTGTTTCTCATTGTTATATTATTTGTATCTTGATTAATGGCAAAAAAACAAATGCATACCTAATTCGAAAAAACAATAATGTTCATTTACTTACATAATCTATTAACTACCATGTAACAAGCTATAAGGTTGATTATTTCTTACCAATGTCAAGGTCTATCAATTCAGTCATATGGAACAGCATGGTTACCTATATAATAAAAAACCTGCAAAGTGCGAGTCGGACTAGCGCACAGAGGGTTCCGTATCAATGAAAAACTCAGAAAAATCACTTTTGTTGTATGGGAATCCTCTTAAATATTTATTTTATTCTCTTTATTACTCATACTAATAGCGACAACAGAAATACATCATCTGCGAAAATTTCAACTGTCTAACTAAATAACGGTTCATGGGATACAGCCTGGTGACCGTCGGACCGATGGACGAACAGACGAACAGCGGAGTTTTAGTAATAGAGTCCAGTTTTACCCTTTGGGTACGGAACCCTGAAAAATTTTTCGTTCGTCGGTTCTATTAAAGCTCTGTACATGTTAGAGTTGAGCCATATTTGGAATGACATTTTAATATTTCAAAACAATGGAAACTGGACGAATCGATGAGGTCAAGCGTCGCATAGCTATTACAGACTATTACAGTCCTTGTAATAGCTGGTAAAGCTTAAGAGAATGAGACAAACCGGAACATAACAGAGGTCACAAAAATCCCAATCGTCTCAAAAACTGATATTGTAATAACGCCGCCAAAAAAGAAGAACAGTAGTTTCAATTATATTCAAACGTTACAAAACCATAGATGTGGAAACGCGGCGAAAGAATATGTATGTGTATAATAACATCAAGTAATAAAATAGAAAATAAAATAAATTACATCTCCAGTCTTGACCCAAAAATCGCAACACAGCTAAAAACACAACTAAATTTACGAAAAGTCCCGAGACTTCGACATACTAGATGGCCCAGCGCGTGTAGCATATATTTCGCGGGTCGAGAGTGAAATATAGTATGGACGCAGCCGAGAGAAGTGACATTTGAGTGTAGACAAAACGTTCTCGAGTTCGTCACGCTACGCGTGCAGGACTCAAACCATACTCTCTTCGACGAGTCCTTGTGGGGGGGGAGATAAAGATACCCAAGACTCCGAAGACGCTCGTCTTGTAAGTCTTAACAACAGATCAACATCCTGTTGAAATATCACAAATGCCTTGCTTATATTTGTTTACTGGTTTAAGAAAAAGCCTGTTGGCTCCATTCTGTTAATGTTAAGTAATAATGGGATATAACTGGTGCTTTAATTAATGGCATTTTACTTATCGTCCACTTAAACTCGTCGGATGAGGTCTGGAGCTCCTGTTTGTCATCAAATTATATATCCGACTTCGTAGGCGAAACTAATACAACGCTTAGCGCGTTGTATTAGTTTCGCCTAAAAAGTAGTTTTTCGTTTAAAACTACTGTTGAGTAAATAACATTTAACCAATATACGTACCAAGCACACACTATGAAAACCATTATCGAGAGTTTTTTTATTGTCATTTAACTATCACGAAACAGAGGACATATTAAAGTAGGCAAGCCGAATAGAATATAGGTATAAACACACATACACACACACGCACGCAAACACGCACGCACGCACGCACGCACGCACGCACGCACGCACGCACGCACGCACGCACGCACGCACGCACGCACACACATACACACACGCACACACGCGCGCGCACACACGCACGCACGCACGCACGCACGCACGCACGCACGCACGCACGCACGCACGCACGCACACACACACACACACACACACACACACACACACACACACACACACACACACACACACACACACACACACACACACACTTGTCCCTTTAGATGCAAAATGTCCCTTTAGATAAGAGGAATCACTGACTACCAAAAAACATTTGCTCGAGTCCATGCTATGTGTGCTGAGACCCAGTATTAGTACAACGGCGTTTTAAAAAATCAACGATAACAGATATTTTTGTTATTTTGTGATACACAAACAAGAACTGTGTCAAAATACCTATTATTAAAACGCCATAATTAATTAAGTTAATTGGCAACATTCGATAATAAGTTCTTTATTTTAAACTTTGTAAATAACTCTGAATTAGTTAGTAATTAAAAAACAAAAGGTATAGTTAATAAACAATAGTGTTGGTCGTCGTTACATAAGATTAAATAATTTCGTCTGATATCAGGAACTTTGAACGGAGAATGCCTATGCACGTGTACAGCGGTCACTCATTCTATCAACGTCATTCGTACATTACCTATATGAGCTCGACATAGTAAATTCCCTACAGTATAATAATATATGTGTACCCAAAGTGTACAGTCATAGAATTGTAAATACAGTCAAGGGTAAGGCGTGATGACTCTGATGTAATATCAAAGTCCGAAGTGATCTGCACGTGTGCCGTTGCCAAGGCATTCGTCATGGATCATGTCATTTAACCATCATTGCTGTGGAATTGCAGTTGATGTTTCCAAATATTTACTCTTTTTGTTCATTGGATGTCCTATTGATATTTGTAACATAGAAAGTCTTATCAAGATGAATACTAGATGATATTCGTAGAATGTGTCGTCGTTATTTTTTGTCATAGTAGTTGCCAGGCGTATATAAAAAAAAAATTGTCGTTAGAGGTGTTTCCTTCGCTTTATTCTATTCTTAGATTACAATTTGCCTCATGTATATATAGTTACTTTGTTTTTACACTATGTCACGATAACATGTTTCTTTTTATTAAGGAACTGCTAATGTGATAGGCATAAAAGCACGTCTGCTCAATCTTTGTCTGAATGACTAGCATTACTCATCAATATTGTGTATTTTATGCTAAGACTTTGTGATACTGAGAATGATTTCAAATCTAATGGACAGCGGACATTTTTACATGGGAAATATAAAGTTTTCCCACGGCAATTGGCTTCATAAAATTCAATAAATTATAGACACAGAGTAATAAATAATGTATTATACATATATTGCTCGAAAATGATAAATAAATTGTCGACGAGAAAATGAATAGTTACGCTGCAAATGTAGGTACTATGTTTGTTTTTAATGGCAACTGTTTATAGTTGTTGTTGTCACTTCTCTTCAGGATACAGACCTCAATATAAGAACCTCATTCTTATCCTTTGATTACATAATAATCAAAGTTTATTGCGTTTCTTTACAATTGCTTTTTATATATTTATTATTGTTGGAAAAACAATATCAATTATTTTAATTTCACTGAAATCTTAAATTGGGATCGTGGATATTAAATGTAAGTGTCAAATAAACAATAATTGAAATGCCATTGAGAGACCAATGTTTTGTTAGCAGAATTGAAATCTATCTGCGCTTTCTAATGATATTAGATAAAATCTTTGAGGCTTTTGTTGAAGGATGACATCTCGCTTGCTCCGACTATCATTTTCAGATGCTTTTCGATTCCGATGATAATGAAAGTATAGCAGCATTATAAAAATAGTCCTACAAGGGTATCTACATAAATCGAGCTCACTATTGGAGGGGTTTTGATTTATAATTTATAAGGAACTGGGTCTTTAAAGATCACAACTGACTCAATTTGCGAAATTAAAGTCTAGCACTTCACATTATATAACCACAATATATAATTCTTTATTTTATCTTCATCGATTTTTTGGGAACTAGCCTTCTGTATTTTGATATAACTTATGGTTGAATAGATGTATATACACTCAGCAAAATAACAAGTATTTATTTGTCACAGGACCACTTGGTGACAAATTTGCACGCTTATGGGAGGAAGAAGTAGCCCGTGCTGGAGGCAAGAGAACGCCAAGTCTCCTCCGAGTGATTCTCAAAGCTTACGCAGGGAGATGTATGCTGTATGGAATGGTGCTGCTATTTATGGAGTGTGGAATAAGGTAAATATTGTGTTTAAGATATATATAATAAGTGCTTTCGATTGAATGCGGCCGCTCTTGAAATAGACGATTTATATTTTTTATTTCAATTATAAACTTTATTTTAGCTTTCCATTGACGTCAGTTTATTCGTATTCGATTGAAGAATATTCCTGATCAGTTTCGTTACTATAAGGAATGGTACTTATTTTATAATATGCTAGGTACTTCTGATATGTAGATGTTAAAAAGACAAAGAAAAAGAATATAAATTAAGTTGTTTGTAATTGTCGAATTAAAAAAAAAGTCATTTATAACTAGTTAATAGTATAGTAATTTTTTTTTTTCAATTATTCTGATTAACCAACATTTAATACACTTGCATACGATAATAATTTAGAACAGAAGGAAAAACGTATCAAACAATGACATATGAAGTTGGAGATCGCGCAACAGATTTGTTACTTGACCTCCAATTTTGCAAGTAGTATATAAACTAGTATTAACAAAGTTTTTGAGTCCTTTTTATGAAAATTACGCAGATGAGATTTGAGACGCTTCAAGTTTATATGAGGAAGAGCAGTGCTTAAAAACTATATTAAAATAGAAAAATAACATTACACACACTACCATGCGTTTGACAATATTAAAGAAGCATAGTCATCTTTGATCATAAAATCTCAGATAATAGTTATTTAAGATACGGGTGCGGAAAGTAAGGTTTTACGAATAAGGGCCAAATTGTAAACTCGAGTGTAGCGAGGGTTTTCATTGGCACGAATTCGAAAAACCTTTTACGCTCAAGTTTCTTACAACATTTTTCAATGCTTTTTGCGAGGAAATGAAAGAAATATATAGGTTAATAAAACTAAGTATGTATTAAAGGTAAAAATTATTTGTTAAAATTAAACGTGATATTTGAACATGTTTTCGTGTCATACATTTTTATTTGAAAAATATTCGTTCTAGGCTCCTTGAAATACATTTTCCTCTAAAGTTTGACATATTTTCATCAATTTTTTTAAATTTCTTTGGTGCTCGGCCAAAAAAAATTTAAAATATACTTTTAAGCACGTGTGCAGTAAAGGATTTCAGTAAATTTTTATTTAACACGTGTTTAAAGACTCACTTTCGGTGTTTACAATGCATTAAAAAATCGCGCTTTATGAGCAACTGCATTGAAATAATTTTACACTATTTTATAGTCATTTTATGACCAACCGACAAATAAAAATTATATCGATTTGCTTTAGAATGAGATCAAAGTGGACATCAAATATATAGCATTACTTATTTACAAGAATACAGTCTCGGAATTGGCGAATTAGCACCAAATACGGTCCTGCGAAATGGGGAGCTTAGTGGTTTAGTTATTGTATTTCGGGATACCTGCCAGGGACTCGTATTTAAAAAAAAATATCTCAGTAGTGGCGAACAGTCGATTTCATTGTTTAATAACTTCGAAGTGAAACCAACACCAGAAAGTTTTTTACGTTTCACAAGTCAAAAAAGTCCTTTTATCAAACTGCTATTAACTGATCTTTAAAACAAACTAAAATCAGAAATTAAAACCTGTTTAAGTGAAGTTTAAACTGTAAACAAGTACAGTTTGCGACTAACTACCAAACTGAATACGTTTTAAGGTTATTCATAGAAAGTTTTTCTTTTTATTATATTTATAAAGAAAAATAGTTATATTTCGATATGACGAAAAAGAGCCGGTGGAACGTTGTGTATGCGCTGGTGTGCATGTGCCAGTGTTGTTGCGGCAGCGTTGTCTCATCAATAGTCTTCGCTATCTATCAATAGAATTAAATTAACACAAAATAGTATCCTTATTTATGACTATTTTTACTACAGTTTATAGTAATAGTAAAGTTACACGAAAATCACAATTTTATTATCTATCTAATCATATTACACTTTCATATCGGTATATCTCACGTGAATATAGATAGTATATTATCATCATTGCTATCATTGATTGATAGTATTCTATCTCGTTATTAATAAATACAGATATCGAACCAAACTGTAGTTATCACAACAACAGTAATGTCAATCCCGCTGCGTTAAAATTCAGAATCGGAAATATGTTGCAAATTATACACCCGAACAGAGATTTCGTCGAACAAGTCTCAGTTTCAGATTCATGAAACAAATTCAGATAAATTATAATTCAATGAATCAATTTATTGGTCTCTATCTAAACTCGCAAGTAGATGTTTCTTGTTCTATTAACTGATTAGTTTACCATTTTTATATTAGACAATGTTGTTTACGACAATATTTAATAAATGAAGGGTTATTAAAGAAATCAAAAAGTAAAAAAATAAATAAATATATAGCAATATCTTTTTTTGCAATTGATGAAATAGATATGTCATAGAATTTATTATGAAACTGCCTGCAATGTTGCATTCATGCGTGCAGTATCTCCGCTACGTGCGTGACTGCTCTATTTAGCATCAGTTGATTAGATACCCCCTTTAATTGCTCAATTGGTTGCGATTGTATCTAAGTAGACAACTGTAACACACATACTGATAAAATGTAAAGCATTTAAGCCTACTACAGACTGAATCCGCTGATACGGCGGACTACTGTTGTCTGCGACTTATCTTACATCTTTTAATCTTTTGTAATTTTGATAACTGTTATGTAAAAATCAGTAATACCAATTCTAGAGGAATTCTGTCTCTATATAAACAAAATTTTTAACATTTCTAAGATAATTTTATTGTTTCTGTGCAGATTTACTTGCACATTATTTTTTCGAGTCATAAAGCTGCAGCTATCCGCCAAAGTCATCGTAATAGAATAAAATAAAAATTTATGAGGGGTGAGGGGGACGCAATATTAAGTTTCTGCGCTGGTGGGAAGAATTTGTCAGTCTGGCCTTATTGCCGCCCCGGCCTTCGATGAGGTTAGTCCGCCACTGGTAACGAGAGACTTATCTTTGTAGAATAGGAAGTTTAAATAAACATTCAACAATTGTGAGAGATAATAATTGATCTCGAAGATGTTGTTACTCATCGAGTGGCCTATCTTAAATCTACGAGTCGTTGACTTTTTCTTTTTATCTGAAATCAGTTGTTCGTTGCATATACCCATGTTACTTGTTAAAAATACCTGTAAAGTAAATACAAATAATAGAACAGGTAAAACTAATATATAAGAATGGTTTTAAAGATGAATAGACGTGGCAAGAAGAACAAAGCAAAGATAAATCCAGAATAATACGGTCCTTTATTGTAAAAAAAGAGGAAATGAAAAAAACAATATTACGGATAGCAAACAAAGACTTGAACACTAGTGATACTTGTGTTGAAAAAAATGAGAGACATTTGTAAAGATTATTGTATCTGTTTTATGGTGAACGTTCACTGGCCGCAACGCATGCTCTACACACAAAGGATTTTCTATAGCTTTATATGAATTTGCACAGCGCTGCACCTACTATTACGGCTACACCATGTGCGTAGGATGAAATAGGTCTTCATTGAATAAAAAAAGATTGATTAATTCCCAACTTTCATGAAGTAGGCATTGAAGTAGATTCTGTAAGTAGATATAATCTATACATAGTATTTTCCCCAAAGTCGTTTCCTGTTGACTTTACGCTGTGATCTTTTAAAACTACACAACACAATTTAATTAATATACAGACTGATTCTAGAAGAAACAAGGACCATGCCGATGAAGCTGACGAAAAGCTACTAAATATTATTATTAAAGACTTGGAATTGGAAATTAATTTGATTACCTCAGTGACTTCAGCCCTGCGATTCTGTAAAAATCCATACCCGAATTCGAATTCACTCAGATGTACGAATTAATTTCAAAAAGCGGCATCCGCTCAACCTTGAATTGATAATAACGTTTTATGGCATAAGTGAAGTGAGTTTCGAAATGGCATAGGAATATAATATTTGAGACACGTATATCCAATCAATTATGTATTGTATTTTTACATAAAAATTGGAATCAATAGAATTTCTACACTAAACTACGTGAATTCGGACACATGAGTGAATTCTAATTCGGGTCTGGATTTTTACATAAACGCAGAGCAGATCATACAAGGTGCAGCAATATCTTCGTTTCAGTAACAGAGCAGCCATATTGTTCAATTATTTATAGGTGATATACTCGTATATAAAAAATGTACTTAAAAGCAACTCTTTGTATGGATGGATATTCTTTGATGGTTTTAATATCATTGCTCTGATGTCCTCCGTGCTGGATCCCGGATCCTTTTCTCCACGCGAGGGTAGTCTTCAACGGGTTTCATTAGGTAGGGTAAACACGCTTTGACTTCGCTCCTCTGGGCGTGTTCTAGTGGTTGGAGACCTCTTATTTGAGGCTTAATGTGCATTTCCCATGAGAAAGCAGAAAATAAAATAATAATGGCATATGAAGGAGACTGAAAACCCTGTTGCTAACATGTTTTACGTTAATTTACATACAAGATTCATCCCTAAGATAACTTTAATACGATTTTATTGCACTTTATTACGCAAGAGATACTGGCCGTCATATATGCAAGTAAATAACACCACTCGTGTCATTGTTATCTCAATTAGTGTAATCGTGTTGTAACCTTAATTCATCCCACAAATTGTTTTTTTTTTTACATATCGTGTGAACGGTCGTTTGGTATGATATTAAACAATTTAAGCGAAAACAATAATACGGTTCGTATTAATTTATTATGGATTTATTACGTGATCGTTTGTAATCAGACGTAACTGTATCCCTACTAATATTATAAATGCTACAATAACTCTGTCTTTGACGCTCAAACCACTGATCCTATTTCAATGAAATTTCATGTAAAGATAGGGTTGACTTTGGGAAAGAACATGGTTACTTTTTATCGCGAAAAAGAGGATTATAGAGGTTGGAAAATGTTACGATACTTTTTTTAGTAACAAAGTTTCTACAAACTAAATGTCAACGTCTTTGTTAGTAATGGGCGAGTAAGTAATAAGCGAGTAAGTAATGGGTAGGGTAAATCACTGCCGGAAAGCGTGTATGTACTTAATGCACGCGATGCATACAATTCGATCGGTCGTTAATTCTGGACACAAATTACCTACATTATGCAGATTATCTAATACGCAATATATGTAATGAAAGACGATCGAGGGCAACAGTTCGTTCATCTTAGAAGTAAGATGGGTCAAGACCCAGACTTGAATAATAAAGAAAGAAAACAAAATTCACATTGTCAAGGTTAATTTAAGTGATAAAATTGTGTAATTCGTATTGCATATTTGTTAAAAAAATGTTGTTCTCAATCTTTATTCAGAAGGTGAATATTGTTAAGAACCAACCCCATCTGTATTAAATTCGATTTTGTCCCCAACTTCGTTTACGTGCATTTTGAATTTCTGCTATAGGATTTAATGTATATGTTACGTTATTTAAAGAATATATGTTAATCCTTGTATGATGATATGTGTTAAGTGTAATATATATTTGTGCCAAATATGAAAATCCGCGGCATCATTTGTGCGTGAAATGGTAACAAATTGTATACATATACATAAAAAATATATAGTTGGATGAGCTTCTGCCAAGCTTTCTTAACGTAGGTACAATATTAGGAGACTATATTTATGTAGAATACATATTCTAAAAAATCATATAAGTAATCAATTGTTTAAGATTTAGTTATTGTGAAATCATATAGTTCTTTATGAAACACTTTACAATATACATTTTCACTTACGACTCGAGCTTGGTTGAAACTGTATTGAACAATGGTAAATAATCCATACTCGCGACTAACGTTATGTGATGTAGTTAAAATTCATTTTCTTTTACTGTCAAGAGTAAGTAATACTACCACAGACATAATATATAGTAAAAGGAAAATGACGGTCTGAAAACTAGCACTTGGTATATTTTTAGCATAGAATTTTAAATTACGTCATCTGCCTTATTGATCTAACAACGTAGGCTTACTCGATTTAAAGGAATCGTATCTCAAATTTGAGGTCGTGACCTCAAGGCGTCTTCATTATTATTTATTTTAATTTTATTTATCGATTTACCAACTTTCACAGAAGAATCATAAGGGATTTAAAATCCAGTGCAATAAATGCTTAATATATTGCAATAATAAAAAAATAAATATTTAAGAAACCCAATTCACATCTGACCTATGTTGTGTATGTATACAATTACCCTAATTGTACACCAAGTAGGTACACTAATTGGGGTTATTAAATATTTATATAGAATTATATTAAAACTTAGGTATTATTTGAGCCAAAAATTTATGTTATCATTGAGGCCAATCAGTTTTATTATTGATTGGATATAAATAGTAGTTCAATGATGATTCTACGATATTCCAAGGAAAGAATTTTGAAAATCTCAAATATTTTACAATTCCACAGATATTATAATTTCTTAGAGCCTGGTGTGTAAGTGAGTAGTTACATAGTGTGTAAGTGAGTAGGTACACATCTTTTTGTCAGACAATTTCGTACTCTATTACCAACCCCTTTTTCCTTCTGTCGTATGATGTAATTTTTGGATGGTTCCAGATAATAATTTTATGAGTAAAATCGTTAAATTAAAAACTTTTCTAAATAGATTCTCGAGTTTATTTTCTATTTTACAATTATTGATGTATGGTTCTAATCGCTTTTATTGTAACAAAGCATAATTGAAATATCTGCACCAATCTACCATATTTTCAATTTCACCTTTCACCTAGAGTTTAACCTTCCAACAATTCCAAAAACTTGTTTCTTCAGGATTCAACAGCCACGGATGTTGGGTTTTTTCATCGGCTACTTCTCGCAACAAGAATTTGGAAATATGCACAAACAGCTAGTACAATTAAGTGATCAAGTAGCCAATGCTCTCGGGCGCTCCCCAAACATCACCGCTGAGAAGTTAGCAGACAATGGCAATTAATGAGGTTTACATAGACATGACCTCATTAGTTAATACCTTGTAAAATATAGTATATTTACAATTTTCGTAGTTCCATAATAATAGGTGCTTAACTAGATTACAAATACGTATAGATTTTTTTTATGTGTACTATTTATTTTTAGATCATAAATTTCATTCGTTATAAGACAGGAATACTGACTCACGAGGAAAATGTGTAGATTATTAGTACTTGCGATATTTGTAGTAATTCTTAGAATTTAAATCATATTTAAATATATTGAACATACTGATCTAATTTATTCTGACTTGCATGCAAACCGTTTCATAACAATATCAACGTTTGTGTAGTAAAACAATAGTCTTTAATATTTTATTGGATGATATACTTAATATTACTTATTTCTAAGACATGTATATTTATCAGTTTGTATTCCCAGGGGATTCACTGCTTAACTGAAGCCTGGATTGATCTGTATAGATAAAACTGAATGATCTTCCAGCTTGACAGATTTGAGCAAGATTTGATAAATACTGATTTGTTTGCTAATACTTGATCTATCTGCCTGAAACAACAGTCAGTAATTCATTTTGACATATTAATCCGGGCTTTAATAACGCGGCAGAGCTGCATATGTGAATTCTGTGGCCTAGAAATAGAAAACTATTTGGAAATTTTTTGGATTGTCTATGTTGTTTGAGGCTTAAGGTGCATTTTGCACGTTGCAAATGCTTGAGTATTCATAAATCTTTCTTATACGTTAACAGAATTTAACGGTTTACGTTGCTGACTTAAGTTTGCACATTCAGCCTCTGCATTGGTAATTTCTTGGAAATTAGAAACCTTACGCAGAACGTCTTGTATCCATCTATCCTGATGTCAAAATCAGTCGCATGTCTTAGTAATATCCGCCCTTAAATCACAAATCATCTGACGGCTTTTTTGTCTTACAGATTGGCTCAGCCAGTGTTCTTGGGAAAGTTGGTGGATTACTACAGTCCGGAGAAAGAGAGAATCGACTCCACAGAAGCTTACTACTACGCTGGCGCAGTAGTACTGTGTTCCGCCATCAACGTGTTCGTTGTACATCCGTACATGATGGCCATATTACATATGGGCATGAAGTTCAGGGTGGCTTGCTGCTCACTTATCTATAGAAAGGTATGTTACTACCACCATTGTTCTTCTGTGGTTTATCCGTCCGCTAGTGCAGTTTTTCAATCATTATGACAATTTCCACTTTCGATACAACTGCCTTAAGCATCGATCGAGTGCTCCTTCTGAATCATAATGTAATTCTTAAGACGTGACACTCTTTTCCAGCCCACACTTCGCTTGCCCTGGATCTTTCCTTAGATGATCAATTATAACAACTCGTACTTTTGGCTTTTCAAGATGTGACGACTCAGATATTCGAGTTGACGCCTCTATCGCTGTTAGAACATTCAACGATTTTCCCACTCGACGCAGTATTTACTCATTTCGCACTTTGGCTGTCCATGAAATCCTTAGCATTCTCCGGTACACCCACATCTCAAATTCCTCCACCTTACACATAGCTTCTGTTAGTGTCCAGGATTCTACACTGTAACTAACACCATTAGATTTGATTAATTTAATTAAGGTTCACATGGCATCAACTGTGACTGTGAGCGATAACGATTCGTTGACGTTATGTTTATCTCTGTCTAGATAGACTGAATAATAGTATGATTTATAGACTAGAAAAGTGGCGTTATGAATAAGAAAAATCGTGACACCAGCGACATCTTGCGATGGGCATGTATTTATGGTGGCAATTATTTTAAAATAACATTATATGTAATCGAATAATTTTTAATGCAAAAATGCTTAAAATTCACCAGCCCCAGCTACCAGATGGGACTCGAAGCCACAAACTTTTGCAATGCGGGCGATTGCTCTAACCATTGAGCTACCCGAGACCCAACAGAGCTGACGGATTTTTCATCCACTTGTTACTTTTTGCAGTTAGTGAGAGATTTTTAATCAATGTTCAGTCAATCCACCCAAACAGACTTCATTTCATATTTATCAGGATAGCATTGTGAAAAAAAAGCATTGTCGATGCAAAATTGATGAAATACGGATATATATTGTTCATTATTTTTTTTATCTATATGGATACGATACGTAACGTAAATCGATAACAGCATAGCACATACAATGAATCATGTAACGCATTGAAGCGCATCATTCTCGTTCATTCATTTGTGTAAAATGAATAATAGACGGATGTACTGTGTACTCTCGGCCGATGATTTCTTACTGTTTCATAATTGATACACATTGAACCTTCTCTTTTAGTGAGTAACGTTTATAATTCTCTTCCACCTTATAGACACAGGGCCTGTGCCATCTAAAATGTTTTTACCTCATGATATTCAATTTGAGTCTCTATTCGATTTGATTCGATTCATCCATAGGAAAGGCCTGAGCCCCAGCAGTGAAATGGGTAGTAATGATTTAATTTGAAAAAATTGATAATTAAGCGATTTATTGATATGGTTTTTTTCATAACGAAGTTTTTATGAGTTCGAAACTTCATTTTCGTTTAATTTCGTCCAGATATTATGCATACGTGTCATCGCATCCTTGGCCATGGCAATTCTGCGATTGATCTCCGGTAGACAGCTTCCTTCGTTATTCATATTCGATCCCAAATATATACAATTGTCCACAGTGTCAAGGCCATTTTCCCAGCACGATCTACTACCATCAATTTGGTTTTTTGTCGGTTTATTACTAAGCCTGGAATAACAAGTAGCCCATGTATTAATTCAGGTTTAAAATTATCCGTATACCAAATTGCATCAAAATCCGTTCGGTTTTTATGCGTGAGAGTGACAAGAATAACAAACACGCTTAACTCGTAACGAAATGCCGTATTTATTACACTTTATACAAACATCAAAATTATGTCCGTTATTAATTTTAATGTATTTAAATAATGTGGATGATCCGGGGCTGTTTTGATTTAGTGCTTACTACATTTTCATACGGATGTACACGAAATAAATGTACTATTAATATTTTTATTTTATAGATATACAATATACGTAAAAGAATATCCCTCATATTTTAATTTAAAATCTAAAAATAAAATTCATGTTCAAAATTTCCCGCTAAAACGCTAACCGTTGTCATGGCGTCGATGTCACGTTTACAGCCCTCTGAAACTAACCTAAAAAATAACAACACCGACATCGTTCTATCCATGTATGTCAATGTCAACATCAAATTTATGACATCTTCCTTAGAGGACTGTGACGTCACGCGCTATTTGTAGTTACACGTAACTACGAGTATAAAATAAGTATTTTTCATAATTAATTTAAATAATATTTATAAATAAAATAAGCATGGTACTGTGAATATGGGTAATAGTATATTAAATACTACCATAAGAAAATAATGTATTAATTTTCGTTTACTGTGTACACCCATTTTGTACACATGCATAAAAGCAGATGTATGAATTTTGTTGAATAAATCGCCCTGTGTTTTGTTTGTTGTAAACAATTATCATTGAATTGATAATGATGATTCGGCCTTTGGACTTTATCCTATTAAAATTAATGTACAAAGCAAAACTATGACTGTTTGTTTATTTTAATCATGCTCAAAGTTGTGAACCGAGCTAACAATGCTAAACACTTGTTTTAGTTTTACATGTTTCTTAAGGATACGTTTATCGAAAAGAAAATGGAACTGTAACAGGACCACTCGCGTATTTGTCTGTACGTCTTGAAAATTACTGGATATAACTTTATATAAATTGCTGATCGAAAGACTAACCCTATCTGGGTAAACGAGAGTTAAAATAAATATTCTCAACTTCTTTATTATCCAATGAAAAAAATATATATCATAGGAATACCTACAGCTATATGAAAGGGCTTGTTGTATAGCAAACTTACAACGTCTATAGTTATTCGATTTAATAACTTTTGCGTTTACTTTTTTTATTAGTTTTATGGGAAAATACTCAAACATTTTACGTTCTCAGTTATTTTTCGTGTCTTCTAATCGGGTTTATTAATTTTGATACCTGAGACCGTAACAACAATATTAACAATTCTGGACTAAATATAGGTTTAGTCCTATCGAATTGCGTTTTGAATTCTATAATTAACTAAGATAACAAAAGTAAACTTACTTTAGTATATAAGAGTACTTGCTTTAGTAGTAACAAAGCCCAAATTCCGCAATTAATTGCCCCATTATATATTTTGGTTACAAATTGTGAAAAAGAGCTCTCAAAGATACAGAACGGACAATACGTCTTTAGTGCCTACGCTGTATCTTACATTTATTTGAAAATCTATATGAGGCTGGGACTCTGGGGTCTGAATTCAGAGCATCGAAACCTAACCCCGGAGCTAAAAAAATACTCCGATTCCGATTTAGATCGAAGCTCTCGTATTAAACATAGGTATTATATATCAGTGTCAGGTTTATTTTATCGTTTGAGTCAGATTTATTTTATAGCTTCATTATTTATTTATACACGGGCAAATAATATTGTTTGTTAGGAAAAATATTAATGTTAGACATCAACACTTTTAAGTTGAACTGTTGATCGAAGTCTCTAGTTTAGTTAAAAGTAGGAATTGAACATGCATTAAATCATTATACGTCTGGTCTGTGACATGTTCAATGTCTATGAATATTTGGAGAGTATCATCACAGTACAAATATGCCATGTGCGTGTGTATATGCTGGAGACAATTTTTGACATGGTTTTTTACCTATCTACCCCTTTTTTATTGTAATATTATTGGACAGAACACAGACAAAATGTTAGATTAGGAGAGGGCCGAATCAATATTTTTTTTTTTCAATATGGACTTGTTCCGTTATACACGGAAATTTTGCCAACATCCCGTAGTGAGAGAGACACGTGATTGATGATACTACATCAAATTGAGCTATAGATTATACTTGTCAAATATGAAATAAATAAAATATCAGACGACATCACAAACGTTGCTCAGATTCCAAGATGAATAGCTAAAGCCGTCGCATTACGGAGTATCTGAAACAATGAGATATGAAAGTGAACTACGATCCGTCATTTTCATATTTCCCTTACATAAACATACGCCCGATAACAGTGAATATTCGTTTTCTTATTTTCCTATATGACAAACTTTTAGCAAAATAAATGCCACGCGTTACCTATAATTGATGCGAATTATTATGCGAGTGGCCAACGTAGTAAAACCGGCTTTTAAAATAATTGTATTGGTGAAAAACGCCCAATTTATACTGTATTCGAATGAAGGTCAAGGTCTTACGGTCAGTTGCACAAAGTCCATTAAGTTAGTAGTTTAATGACGCCTTTAGGCTATAATGAATGTCAAATTTGTATCAGTAATGTCGCTTTAAACTAATGACAATTTTAATGGACGATTATGTAACTGGCTGTTCGTCCTACATAGTTCAAAAGTGATGAATAAGCCGTGATTAAAGTTCAATTCTGAAAGCTTTTTATTTGTTTATATCACTAGTCTTTACCAATTGTAATTTATAACAAAACGCGTTTAATTCGCGCGCATTTTTTGACAGGATCTTATATCGAACTCAGCTTGTGTTTCAATAAACGGTTTATGCGTGCTCAAATTATGGGCGTTTACGTTTTTTACTCAAACTATTAAGCAATCAATATAAAGTTTTCATAGTGACACAGATATTATAATAGGGATATCCCTTTTCAGATATCAATTACCAGTGGCATGGTTTTAATTTCGAAGCCTAAACAAGTTATTTGGCTGAGCACACGAACTGTAATCGCAAACTCTTGCGTAAATCTAGTTCAGCTTTTCTCAGTGTGTTTCGCAGAACCGTAAATATATAAAAAAAAATTTGAGAAGCTTTATTTGAAGTTCGCCATTTTAATTCATTCATACGCACTGTTCTGCTGGCATTGATCGTAATTTTAAACGATCGCAGCTTAACCGCACGGCTAACTAAAATTTCAAAAACAAAGTTCAATTTTTTTTTTACGTCAGCATAGAGAGTCATTTTGTCAGCGGGTTCACTTCGTAATCGTGACGTACTTAAAAGTGCGCTCGAAACGTGTGACTATCGTTACGCACCATAATATTAATTATTATTGGAATATTTTAAAATCCTTTATTATCTAGTTCTTATTGATTAATTTGATTAATTAAATTTGAATTTAGGAAATGATGATGTCGTATACAATTTAATAGAAAACTACTTCCTTATAGGATGGATATCGTCAATCATGGCATGGAATAGTTGTATACTGATGTATCATGCTTGTGCTTTAGAGTTGACTTTCGTTTTTTCTTCAAAGTTTAGTCTGCGGTTAAATAGGATAACTACTTTCATCGGTCATCAGATAGATAAAAAAAAAACATCTTCTGGATGCGTAAGCATGTTAAGTTGTTAGTCCTGGCTACAGCCAGGTTGAAAACAACTAGTTATACATAACTAGTTATTTTCACCCAACAATCTGCGCTGAGACCGCTTGGTGTATTATAGATCATATTCCCTGTATTCAGTCCAACAGCGGTGGTATACAGAAGCTAATCTTCGGCTATATATTCGGTAACATTGGCGTGATACAGGTGCGCTTACGTCATTCGTTGTCAGACATCGGCGTAATGTTTGCATGTACTTAACCTACTTACTATACAAATCTGCATTTCTCCTTCATTGTTTTTGACATAATTTTAATTGTTGTATGTTACACTATTCTTTCATATTTTATTTCTAAAACATACAAGTTATCCATCATAGTTTTTTTATTAATAATTACTATGAAGTATAAAATAATTATTAACTAATAAATACTAAGAGTGTGGAGCACTCCCTGCTGGATCCCCAAAGGAGAGGGAGCACGAAGGGCGTTTAGTGGGTATACTGTCAAGCAGCGGGGATAGTACACAAGCATTTCCACATACACGGGCGGATCCACTGGGGTGGTCACGCGGGTATGAACACCCTGGGCTGAGTCCAGGACCTAGGTGGACAACTAATTAATATTGATAAACATAATGTTTTTATATATTTTAGGTCCGGTTAAAGATTTTATTAAAGTTTCTTTCAAAATTTAATTCATTTAATATATTTGTATCTATTATTATCTTAATTAACTCCTTATGTCTCGATCACCACTATTTGCCCCCTCCTCTAGATTCGTCTTTGCCTACATAATAAAGGTACAATAGAAATGTGAAGACCAGTGAATAACTTAATTAGTTGCCCACCAAATTCGCCTCCCTCTACGCCAATCCATATATCTCAGGTGTTCGAGATAGGACTTAAACATGTGACCTTTCGATAAGGTGTTATTCGTTTATTACTTTTTACCTATCTTTTTCGCATTTAATGTCTGCAACAATACACATTCAATAAAAATATCTATTTAAGTTACATTATTTTTGTTGCAGTCCTTAAGACTATCGAAGACGGCGCTTGGCGAGACGACCGTCGGCCAGGTTGTGAATCTCCTGTCAAATGACGTGAACCGATTCGACGTGGCCGTAATTTTCGTGCACTACTTATGGATAGGCCCGTTGGCAACCATCATCATCACCTACCTCATGTGGCTCGAGATCAGTTGGGCGGCTGTCGTCGGAGTTGCGTTTATGCTGGCCTTCATACCGTTACAAGGTGAGTCAATCATATTACAATTGTAGTGAAAATGCTATACGCATACTCCGGCCGCTGTGCAGGCGACGATATATTGATATCCCCTTTTAGGAATCTAGTCAGCGGATATGTCCGCTCGATAGGTCCTCAATAACCTTATTACCGGGTCTCATTAACCGGTAAAGAGATCCACCGGTTAATGAGACCGGGAACTGCCGGAAAGCCGTAGCTGTGACTTAATTAATTCACTGTCATCTGTTTGTTTAAAATGTTAAGTGACAGTAGTGTATATACGAGTATAGATATACAAATTCAATTAAAAAATTTCACCTTGGCTAGACTTATTTTACTGGTTATTTTTGTTACTTTTTTTCTGCACTACATTATATTCATACCACCTCAAGGTTATCAAAATCCAATCTAAACGCTCCCTGTCTTGACTATTAAAAAAAAAATACGCATTTACTATTTTTCTTACAATCTTCATATTTCCTCACCCTTTAGCTTAGCTTCTTCAAATATTTCAGGACTTAATATTTTTTAACATCATTTTTATATTAAAGATATTAAAGAGTACTTAACACATTAATTTTACAATTAGCTTACCTTGGCAAACGCACGTCGGTTCTACGTCTAAAGACCGCACTGAGAACGGATGAAAGGGTACGCCTCATGAACGAAATCTTATCTGGGATTCAAGTCATCAAGATGTACACTTGGGAGAAACCTTTTGCCGACCTCGTCGCCAAGGCTAGGAAGTGAGTTTCTTTTGAATTTTCTACCTTATTCCGTGTTCTTAGAATATACAACTACAATCACGTCTAAGATTCGGAGAGTACGGTTTGCGGTGATGCGTATGTGGTTTTGTTTCTGTTGACAAATTTTTATTAATTTTATAGCCAACAGCGCGGTTTGTGAACGATATTTATGTGGTTGGTTTGTGTTTCTGTTGGCAAAATTTTATTATTATTTTTTAGACTTGTTTTAAGTATATTTCGCAGTCGAGTTAATATAGGACAACGAACATTTTATTAATATTCTGGTTTTGGTCATCGTCATTATATAATATTTATTTATAATTTAGTCCAGTTAAAAATCTGTTTTTTTTTGTATCCAGTATTTGCCTATTTAAAATAATTGACAGCTTATAATAGCCTTAGGTGTGTTAATAACCTAACGCTCGAACGTGTGGCCTTTGCCAAAGTTATTTAACTTTCACAATCGCAGACCTAACAAGCCTCATCAAGCTCCTCAGAGAAAGGTTTATCACTATGTAATATTTCTTCCATAGACACGAGATCAAGCAAATCCGAGCTACTTCCTACATCCGCGGCGTGTTGACATCCTTTATAATGTTCACGACGCGTATTTGTTTGTTCTGCTCGATTCTGGCTTACGTTTTGGTCAATAACGTTATCAGCGCGAGACAAGTATTCGTCGTCACAAGCTTCTATAATATCTTGAGGCAGACGATGACTGTATTCTTTCCGCAAGGTGAGTTCTTAGGGGTCTATACTTTAGTATGAATAGTTTTGAAATAATACTTTACCTTATTATAAATTTATCATTTTTTTAATAGTATAATTAATCTTCATCATCATCAGCCTATTTATGTCCTCAATGCTGGGGCACAGACTAATGGGTTCCCTAGCGTTGGGGACATAAATACTATAGGGAACTATAGATGGGATCAAATCGAATACGGATAATAGGTTATGACGACTGCCGGACGATGGAGCCAGGGCCATCGGTATGACTTTCTGTAGAAAGAAGGAGCTCGGGATATCAAATATTTGGTCACCCATCCGATAACTTTCGAATCGCAGATTGAATGCACAGAATTTATGATTATATTTCTTTAGGTATTGCTCAAGTAGCTGAAGCAGCGATATCAATAAAGCGTCTTCAAAGCTTCATGTTGTACGAAGACACCTCTAAGCCAGTGCCCGGACTCGCTGACATTCAAACGTCGACCAAATTCAAAGAGGGCTTAGAGTCTCCAGTAGAAAGAGAAGATCTCGAGGAACCTGCAAAGCTAGATCTGGAGAAGAAAACAATGGAACCGAGGAAATCGGAAACTCTTGAAACTTTGGCTGAGCACAAAATTGCGGAGGGCAAAGGAAATGGTTAGTGTTTTTGTTATATTTTTTTTATGTCTATGAATAGATTTTTTCATTAATGTAATTTAAATTTTAAAAATTGTTGACCACGATGCACTATTGCTATTTTTTTTTCTGTTAAAGTGCAAATATCAACTATAATGCGTATATAAATAAAGTTGAAACTTGCGTGTGTTCAATAGGGATGATGACTATTTTTTGTTTGTTTGTCCGTCAGGTAGAGTGTTACAAAATATTAAACACGTAGTTATTTATTTTCTTCGTAATCATAAAATAACGGCGTTACATGGAGTTGAAATTTCGCATGACGTCACGTTAAGGTACGTTTTCTACTCAACTGTGACGTAGCGAGCCCCCACTCCTCAACTTTAATCTAAGCTATTTCTTGTTAAATTGAAGTAAAAAAAAATACGTATCTAATATTTTTCTATTGGGTTGGCACAAAAGTAATGAGACGCACTAGAAAAATCTATAACATTTCCTTCTTAGAATCAATTTTTTCGGTAATATTCTAGAATGTTGTAGAACATTCTAGGTACTTCTGGTGTAGGGTATATAAAGCCGCGCTCGCGATTTGTTTAGTCAGTTTGAAGAAAAATGGACGAGCGACAAGTTCGAACACTATACTTATACGAGTACTTGTTAGGCCACAGTGCGCGGGCTGCGGCTGACAATATCAACAATGCATTAGGCGCTGGAAGTACAAGCCATGCGACGGTGTCCCGATGGTTTGACCGTTTTAAATCAGGAGACAGGAGCCTTGAAAGTCAGCCACGCTCAGGGCGACCACCCGCAGTGAATGATGACGATTTGCGCCGCGAACTGCAGTTGAATCCGGATGCTACCACCTGTGAATTAGCGGAAGCACTTAAATGCAGTCACCACGCCGTGGAACACCATCTGCATGAGACGCCATCCTTACAGACGCCAGTCGTGCAGTCAGTGTCGCTATCTGTCAGTCACTTTTGCTGCGACCCCGACGTAAAGAGTTTTTATCAGATCTGGTTACTGGAGATGAATCATGGATTTATTACGAGAACGATACACGTCGTGCTTTTTGGCTGCCTCGAGAAGAAACGCCACCAACTCAACCGAAGCCGAGTCAAAAGAACCGCCGAAAAATTCTGCTTTGCTGTTTCTGGGATGCGCAATGCATACTGTTTTATGAGCTATTACACAATGAAACTATAAACGCTGACAAATATTCAACACAGCTTACCAAATTATCTGCCGCTATCAAGAAAAAACGACGAAGACGAGTCAATGTAGTTTTACTGCATGATAACGCTCGACCTCACGTCGCATCTGTGGTTCGCCGGCAGTTGGAGAACTTGGGCTGGGAGACGATATCCCACCCACCTTATTCCCCAGACCTCGCCCCATCAGACTATCATTTGTTTAGAGCCCTGAAACAGCATTTGCGGGGTAAACAATTTAATGATTTCTCTGACGTAGAGGCGGAGTTGAACAACTTTTTCGAGGCACAGCCATCAGAGTTCTGGGCAAAAGGCATCCAAACTTTGCCGGATCGTTGGCAAGAAGTCTTAGATACTAATGGTAATTACATCATTGACTAAACTTTTTTTATTGGAATAATAATAAAAAAGTAAAAACTTAAACGAAGTGTCTCATTACTTTTGTGCCAACCCGATATTATCTGACTGACGGACTAAATAGAATTGCATTTTTTTTACCCAGTCATCATCCCTATTGACTATGTTTTCAATATTGCAATCGTTAATATTTATTGTCTAACTGTTAGTGTGTAAAATAAGTATTTGTATGTTCAAAGTGAGTTAAATAATGGCGCGATAAAGTAGCATGTATCAATCTACAACTATCTCCGCCAAAAATATCGTACTGTTTATCATATCGTACTTTTTTAATATTGAATATAGATATAATAAATCAGAAACTTTATCGAAACTAATGGTATGTATTTAAAACGTCATGTCAATATAATTTATTTAATTATCGTTTTGCAATTACCTAGGTACTACTGCAACACTAGCACCATTAGAATCTGGTGAGGAAGACGACCAGGAATTATCTACACGGATAGAGGAAGATTCGCGCGGTGTAAGACTGAAACATGCGACCGCTAAGTGGATAGTCGCTCACCCTGAAAACACCCTTACCGATTTATCGCTGTCTATAAAGCCTGGCAAGTAAGTACTAGTTTATAGTTTTAGTAGACCCAATCAGTGGGTTAGGTTATGATAAAATTTGATAATCGGTTTTGAACCTAACCGGCGATGTATTATAGTTTAAAATCAATCGGATTGATGTGACTTAAATATACTGTCGAGGAAGAATGATTTGTCATTATGTGATGATTTTGTAACGCTGAACTAGTCACAGTTTTTACTGCAGGCATGGGATGCTAAAGTTGAAACAAAATGTCAAATGTATAATTGAAATTTTAATGATTTAGTTATAATTATTTTGATACTTTGGTTGTAACAATGTGTACTGTGTCCGTTAATAAATAAATGAATTTTGAATTTGAATTTAAATTATATATCCTATATAGCGAAAACAAAGAAATTGCGATTTATCGTTAAGATAGTAACTTTTTTAATATAGATTTAAAGTGTAATAGATTGTCGAGTAGAATACTAAGAGTGAACAGATCATGAACAATTCTTCCAATATTAGTTAAGCTACTTCAATATAATATAAATAGGTTTAACTAATATAAAACTTATTATTTTAAATAGATTAATCGCCGTAATAGGCCCAGTTGGCGCCGGCAAATCTTCCTTGCTACATGTTTTACTACGGGAGTTGCCGCTACAGTCAGGCAGTGTTCATATTGGCGGAACTGTATCTTATGCCAGTCAAGAACCGTGGTTATTTGCAGGTATATACATTCTATTATTACATAATTTACTGTTCCATATCAAATGTTGTTTTGTTCGAAACAGTATATCCCTTACCAAGGCTTGGCACTGATCCAAAAAACCTGTTTTAATTGGGTAAAATCTGATAATATAAATAATATGACTTAACCAAGTGCCGCTAATAAAACTGTCAAATTATGCAGGAAGTCTAGCCATAACTTTGTGTGATTATTGAATAAAATCGTACTTTTAGTAGTTCAATGTTCAAATTGTTGAACCGGTTTGATAAATAAACCAGTCTCCAAGTCCTGTTCCAAAGTATGGGAGAGCTCTCAAATGTAGGACGATAAATTGATTGACAGAATCTGAGCATTACTAATATTTACTCTTTTATTATTTATTGCTGTAAGGGGCTATGCAGTTCCCCGAGGAACTGTAGTCACTGCCACCTTGAAGATCTATTGTGACTCGCCGCCAGATCTATAGTAACTCCTTTAGCCCGGTAGACTTCAAAAAGTCTATTATATTCCTGGCTTTTAGAGATTTTATATCTTCTGGGCTTATTATATGTCATCCCAGATGTATGCTTCGTTTGTGGATCAGTGGTCCACATTTACACAGGAGATGTTTTGGTGTTTCACGTTCCTGTTTGCAATATCTGCAAATGTCTTTATATTTACTCGTAGTCCTTTCGGGAAATAATTTTTAGAACCACTGATCTCGATTTAACCGTTCAGTTTAGGATATTATTGATAATTTGAAATATTTCAATTACATCATAAGTAAGCGCTCGAGTGCAAGCAGTGCTCTGCCCCCTCCCCATTACAAGGAAAAGATTTTGATTTTTTTTTTATACATATTTATATTAAAAAAAAAAACAAAATTTGATGGTGTGACGGCGGCGGCTGTTTCAAAAGACTTGGTTATTCAGCGTCAGTGGTTGAAATATATATAAAAAGTATTGAAATAAAATTATAACATAGGGCGCATTACCGAAGTCATCGATGAGTAGGTACTACAAGATTAGATTATCATCAGCGAGGCGCCCACCGACGCGTGGCTCCCGGGTGTATTGCACCCCCTGCACCATTAGTAAAGACGGGCTAGTAACCAGGATAAACAAGATACTAACCAGGAAGACTAAGATCTTTTTTAATTATTGATCATTCTTATTTGTCATAGTTATTATAACTAAGAAGGTTAGTTTACAAATGCGTCTCTGTTACAGGAAGCGTTCGACAGAATATATTATTTGGACAAGCAATGGACAGGCCACGGTACAATATGGTAGTGAGACGGTGTGCTCTCGATCGGGACTTTTCATTGTTTCCTCAAGGAGACAAAACAATAGTTGGCGAAAGAGGAGTCAGTCTTAGTGGAGGTACATATTTTTGTATACTATTGTCGTGCCGCCTAAGAAGCCCGATTAGCTAATATTTGTTTGTATTATAGCTTTATGAAATTAATGGCAGTCGATGCTGTAATGCAAATTGTACGTGATCTACTACGTGACTAGATATTTGACCTTTATTTAAAAAAAAAAAAATAATTAAATAATCTTTTTAAGCCATCTTATAGTATGTTCTAATTGGCTAATTAATACACTAAAAAGAGTTAAATCGGAAAAGTTTCAATGTATCGGTCGTCTTGCGTAAAATTAATAATACCACTCCGTTATACAACTTGAAATCCTAATAAGTCTGGTAATAGTAATAACTCTCACCAAAATTTTAATCTGAATCGATATTTTGAGTTTTAACTCCTGCGCGGAAATGGTTTATTTATCTCAAATTAATATAAATTAATTTTAATTAATATTAATGAATATAAATTAATTTTAATTAATATTAATGAATATAAATTAATTACCTATAAAACAGACCAAGCTTGGTAACGACCCATAACTTGTTTGTACTTAGTACCTATCTAATTATTGAAATGTCATTGGGGAGACACTGGCTTCTATAATACAGGTAAAACTAGCTTAGAAGTCAGGGCCTCAAATATTTATGTAACTGGTGTTTGTACAAAAAATAAAGGAATTATTATTATTATTATATATATATTATTATATATAACCACGTGATTAAGGGTTGGATCACATCTAGCAGTACCGTATCGCCCTTTTCCGACGCCTTATCTTTTTCTATCGCTCAAAACCGGCATTTGCTAGAGCGAGACAGATAGCTGATGTGCAATAGCACTTTGCGGAATCCTCGAAGCGATAGGCAACATATTTTTAGTTATATTTATGTTACCTCAGCGTAAAACGAATCATGGACAATCCTCATCCATTTCTCGTCCATGCAGTCATGAGGTCTTTATAACAAATACTGTAACAATTATAATAAGGCCCTTCAATGTTTTCGAATTTTATGTACGTACTATTGTATCAATTGTAGATAAAACTAATTAAAAAAATCTTTCTCGCTCAGCCATTGCCGGATCTGACCGACAAAAATGGCGACGAAAATAGGTGATACCAAATGTAGTTGATCCCTTAAAGTTAAGGAAATCATTTTTGTTTTTTGACTAAGAGACATCCAATTTCCAATTTAACAAGAGGCCGCCAATTGTGCATTAAAGTACAATAAAGAATTTTGCATTCATTCATTCCTTAACTTCATTCATTCATCAGAAGATAAATATTTTTTATCGTGTGTAGGTCAACGTGCGCGTATATCATTGGCTCGTGCTGTATACAAACGCGCTGATATATATCTATTGGACGATCCTCTATCCGCCGTGGACGCTCACGTTGGCCGCCATTTGTTCGAGTCATGTGTGGTGGGATATCTAAGAAATACCACAAGAGTACTGGTCACACATCAGCTACAGTTCTTGCGTGACGTAGATCAGGTAAGATTCACATTTTAGATAATATTTACTGATCTTTTGTTAATGTTTCCAATTTCTTTTTTGAAAAGGTTTCTCAGTTCAACTGTTTTTTTATCTGTTGTATTATTTTATAAGGATATATTCGTGTATATTCAACGAATTTTGATGGTTCTTTTTGTTTTTAAAACAAAATAACTAGAAAAGAAAATGTAGTCATATAAAAATGATTTTTGAGTTTTGAAGATTAAATGTTTGATTTTTTTTTAACCGAGTATTAATTTAAGGATCTCGATAATGTTAATATTAACACGTTAATGTGAAGGTCGATACTGTTATTTGCATCTTAATAAGTTACTGTAAACATATAGAAATGTATACTGATGATATTAAACGTACCAACTACAAGTAACGGATTAGTGAATATTTGTCTAATGAAAATAAAAAAAACACAAAGTATCATGCCCATTTTTACCTAAAATAAGGCGTCTAGTAATGTTATATATCTTGAAATGTAACTTACTTTCACTTATTTCATATTGTATAATAAATTCTTAAAATAAAGGACATCCTCCTCAAAACATTATTTAGAAATGAGCATTTCTCTGATTTTAGATGAATAGATGCTTATATATTATTTTCTTTTAAGAAAAAACGAATTTAAATAATAGGCAGACACGACCTTTAAAAAACATATGAACGGTCAATCAATATATCATTTTAAACTTTTTTTTATTTTATTTTAAAAAAAGTGAGTTCATAAAATTTGTTTAAAATAGCTATGAAAAAATACTACTGAACACAGTAAAATGTTACAACTTAATTCCGTTTCACCAGATAATTATTCTGAAGAACGGCACCATAGCGGCGGCGGGTGACTTTGAAACTCTGAGCGCGTCCGGTTTAGACTTTGCCTCGTTATTGGCCCGCGATGAGCACGCAGAAGAGAAACCCACATCGGAACAAACGCCTGCTGCTGATACAGAAGATTCGATTATATCACAGGGTAGCTTCCGTAAGCGGCAAATGAGTATACATTCGGTAAGTTTTTTTCATTACCACAGACTAAGTGCCTCGCGGACTTCAAACCTTTTATTTCAAAGTAAAATAGTTTTCACAATAATTGGCTACCTGTTTTGGGAAAGTTATTTCAGTCATATTATGATCATATTAAAAAAAATATATTAAATAAAGGAAATCATATTTTTATTCATTACATATTTATAATTATCTCTTAAAACAATCAGTCACGTGACAATTCGTACTGTGACGTCATTGATACCGATCGCAAAGTGTACAGACCGAGCTGTCGTTAGGAAACTTACAAATGTTGTTAAATTAATTTAACAGTTGAAATCGGTATGTGCCTTACAAATAACAAAATAACTTAAGAGACTTGCAATAATTTTTTTAACCGAATAGATAAGATTTCTATTGCAAACTCTGTCGAGACTGTAGCCCCAGGTTGCGCACGCAACTAACATGGTGACATTTACTCTGTTGAAATGTGACGTCACACGATGCTCTGTCATGGCCATTCTTGTAATCCACAGATCATAAATAGCAAGTTAATTTGCAAAAATAAAATATTCTTACAATTTTGATTTTTACACCTTACTGCAAAGAGGATAGAATTTATTATCATATGAGCTTTATTTATGTCTTAACTATTATTATAGCTTCATAAATGATCTTAGGTCAGTTCGGTGGATAATCTGACAGCGACAGCGCCCCCCGAAGGTGGACGGGAAGAAGCGGAAATTCGTTCAGCTGGTGCCGTGTCTGGAAAAGTGTACGGAGCATATTTGAGAGCCAGTGGACATCCGTTAGTCGTTGCGTTGATGCTTTTCGTAGCTGCATTGGCACAGTTGTTGGGTTCTGGATCAGATTGGTGGACCAGTAATTGGTGAGTGAACATAGATTTTACGATTACCATACATAAAATGTAGTATTATTATGTGCCAGGACTTCGTGGAGTGAATGAGTTAAGTATACTGACCAGCTTGTACTATAGGAGCAACACTAAATTCACGAAAAAATAATTAGTTGTTTTATACTGTTGCCGATTGTAAGTATTACAATTTTGTATGAAACATTGATTTATTTTTTGATGAATTCAGTGTAAAAATTACTATACTCAACTCATCCATCTCACGAAGTCCTGGCAAATAATAATATTACACCTTATATTTAGGTAACACATATCTACATCATTTTTGAATTGTATTTCTCAAATACGCAAGTATTTTAGTAATTATGCTCCTGGAAATTCAATAGTCTTATTAAGGTCTCGGGTATAGTAACTGAATCTTTGTTTGGGCTGAGAAGACCTACGAGCTCGGCGGTGATTGATTGAACCTACGATAAGAATTAATAATATGTCTTGTTACAATAATCATAAGGTGTACAATAAAAATACAATGCATTAGGTGTTAGTTTCACTCACACTCGCTGATACTTGAATCATTGTGATTTGCCGCGTTCCGTGATATAGTTAACAAAAGGATTCCATTTGTTTGAAAAAAGAAAGTGACAGAAATATGCCGTTTTTACGTGTTTTATAGAGCATAATCAATTTCATTGTCATTGTGATTGTGTTTTTGAACGCTATTTTATTGTGATTTAGAAACACATATTGAAATATTTTGCAATAATATTTGTTATTATACTTCAGTCAGTGTTCTTTGAAGTCATTTGTTTACATATTTTTTTGTATATTTGATGTTTTATACTTGCAGTAATTAAGGCTATTAAAATTTTATTTGCTTCTTTTTTATTTAAATAAATATGTATCTATTATATATACAGTCAAACTATTTTTATAACAATGGTTTTTAAGTATTTGGAAATACAAATTGCGTGAAACGAATTTGTTAACAAACGTCTGCGTACCCATGCTATGTGTAATGGATTATAGTTTATAATAGTTAAGGGTTCACTTTAACCAGACTAACCAGGTATCATTAACAATCTCTATCAAAGGAACAGCTATTATGGTAACGATTAGTGGAATTGTGAACGTTTAAAGTCGCAATAGCTTTTGGAATTAATGATGATTTGAATGATTAAGAAACATAATAGTACTTAGTGTGTGGAACAGAAAGGAGTTTGGACTCACTTTTCGTTTCTTCGATAACTCAGGGTATTAAGCTGCTGGTCGTAAGTCTCCCGCGTTGTTCTGGGATGATTTTGTTATCGTCCTAACTGCTCCTTCACACAGCGTTGATTTTCTATGTATTTGCTGTATACACTTTCGCGCTACAAGATTTGGTTGGAATGGGACCTTACGGGATCGACCATTCGCTATGGCGGCGGAGATGCAACAGACAGTTCTCAGTGACTGTCTGTCTACCCTCGATTATTTTATATTTGTCCAAGTAAGGGAAGGGTAGGTAGGCGGATGAATAAAGTTGTGTTACCATATTTAATACCTTATTTGTAACGCATTTTGAAACCGAACACTTAGGAACTTTAATTAAAGTATTAACGCCAGTCAATATCTTCAGAAAGGCACGATCGTTACAGCTTTCGCATGTCAAATAATTGTGATATGAAGTTCGTGTATATCTTTCAACTACCAAATTGAAAAAGATTGCGAGTGTTTAAAATTAGATAATTAGGGTCCCGAGATTCATTTTTCAATTTTTTATGTGATTTGTTTATACATAGGGTTAATCTTGAAGAAAGTACTCCTCTACAAGCGACCCAAATGTTGGACAGAAATTCAACGAATCCATTGGAGTTGGCGAACCATCTCGAAGAATCGTTAATAGATAATGTACAATATGAAGGAGGACTTACAAGATACGACTGCATATATATCTATACTGGTATGTCACTTATATTCTATTATGGCACTTATCAAATGATTGATAATGTGGACAACTTTTTTATAATTTTTTATTTCAAAGTTATACATGAAATATATATAAAAAAATATCATTCACATAATAAGATTATATCCAAAAACGAATTTAGTGTAGTTTCTCTCGAAAAAGCCACTTCTGTCATGGCGTCGCTATGACGTCACGGCACTCTGAAACGAATATTCTAAGTTCTATACTGAAACTCCGAAACGAATATTCTAAGTAGGAATATTCTAAGGTTGAATTCTCTAAGTTCTGATATGAGTAAAAGGATCGTGACGTCACGCGCTGTTTGCGGTCACGTGACAACGAGCATTAAATATTTGTTTTTGTCATAATTAATTTAAGTAATATTATAAATACAATAAGAATGAAAGTGTGATTATCGGTAATAGTATATTAAATATTACCAGAAAAATAAATGATTTCTCTTCATTCACTGTCTACAGCCTTATAAACGGCGCTATATAAAATTTCAGCTCCGGCTGTAAATAAAATAAACAATAATGCTGACAAACTTTTTGTTGCTTTTATTACTTCATTACCCATAGTTGCACAAACGCTCGTGGAGGTTAAATGTCGACTTTAAGCTTTAATGAATTTCGCTGTAAACTATGTATAACTAAACTGTATTTTTTGGACGTTTGTATAACGTTTCGGTCTATTCGACGCTGCCTGTACATAACAAAAATCTCTAAGTTTCTTAAACTTAAACAGAAAGAAAAATTAAAAAAGGAGGATTGTATGTACCGAACATATTTTTTTCCAGGCATGGTGGTCGCCCTAGTGGCGATATCTCTATTGCGTTCGTTCATGTTCTTCTCTATGGCTATGCGCGCGTCTACACGTCTTCATAACAAAATGTTCGCGTCCATAACTCGAGCGCCGATGCGTTTCTTCCATTTGAATCCTTCTGGAAGGATCCTGAATAGATTCTCTAAAGACATGGGCGCCGTAGATGAGGTGCTGCCGTCTGCATTACTTGACGTATTACAGGTTTGTAATTAGTTAATCATTAATTTTTGATTTAAATCGAATTTTGAAGACTTTTTCCTTTTAATAACAATGTAAACTATTTTAATGTAACCAATTGCAATATTACTAAAGTCCGGTCTTCGAACAGAGACAATTTCGTACGTTGATTTATGCGCCTACTGATAAATATCGTAAACGTTTTAGATTGACTTAACTATGACAAAATTGGCTAGATACATATTATCTACGCTAATATTATAAAGAGGAAAACTTTATTTGTAATGAATAGGCTCAAAAACTACTGGACCGATTTTAAAAATTCTTTCACCATTCGAAAGCTACATTATCCATGAGTAACATAGGCTTTATTTTATATCGGAAAAAATAGGGCTCCGTAAGTTATTTGGGTTTTTCGGACACAAGGTGTAAAAAATCAACTAGAAAAGTTACTTACTTTGCGTACGCTGCCTAAACTATAAAAGATAGAACCATAAAATGTTTTAATTAATTATAGATCTTATAAATATCTACAAAAAAGTCCGCGACACACTATACCTATCTATATCGAGTGAGGTACAACAACATTTTTTTTATTAAAGATGAATTTTTTTGGACTTCATTTAAACGCGTATAATGTACTCGTGCTATTAATATGATGTTTATTTGGACTATGCTAAATTGGGGAGGGTAGTTCGAAGATTCATCAAATTAGAGCAATGTAATATGTATATTGTCTCGTATTTGTATTAATTAATATTTCATTGTTTCAGATAGGATTATCTCTCATTGGTATCGTGGTGGTAGTAGCGGTAGTAAACTACTGGTTACTCGTTCCTACGGTGGCCATCGGATTTGTATTCTACGGCCTGAGGATCTTCTATCTCGCTTCCTCGCGCAGCATCAAGCGCCTCGAGGGTGTGAGTGAGTCATCTCTGAGGCGCAATGCCGCTTTTATTAGAAATCGGACCTAGATTCGAGAAAGCCCATGAAACGAGAGAAAGCTTGTAAACAAAGTGTCAGGGGTTAAAACCGTTATTTTTTTAATTGAACATTATTGAAATTACTACGATACATTGAGGTGAAAAGGCACATGACGTCACTCTTTGTACAATTTCTACAAAACTGGCGTAGCGAGCCCCCCACTCCTCAACATATCTAAGTTTTTAATGACAGTTATCTAAGATTTTTCTGGTTATTTATATTTTTATATGTTATAATACTTTTTTATTGTCTGTCTGACGGACTAAATGGAATTTCAGGTTTGGAATAATTTGTCTTGCTGAGTTACAACTTGAACAAATTAGATCTACATTAACCTTATCACACAAACCATTGAAGCGTTTGCCTGCACGAAATAAAAAGGCATTTTGCTTATAATTAGTATTTGAAATGGTAATATAAAATGGCTTAAAAAAAGAAATTTCCTTCCTGGCACATTAAAGCTCAAAAAATGAAGCTCGGGGCATACAATACTGCTAGTATAGACTATTTTAGCTATTATTCGACGGTTTTCTAGGATTATAAAACGATGTTTTTTTTACATAATCGAATATAATCACTGGAATTATACATCGCCCTCGTACGGTAACATAAATATTTCAAAACTTTTTTTATATATTTTCAATCCTTTCGATATAAACAGCATAATATCCATATTCAAAGTGACTACGTACAAGACTACTGTGAAGTACTATAAATTTAAGTAATTTAAATTAAGTAACTTCTAATTAAATAAAACTACCTTTAAACGAAATTATCACGTGTATTTTTGTTAAATTTGTTACATATTACAAACGTTTCAAATTCTTTACGGGTTTCTTGTTTACTGGATTAACATGGTACAGTGGCCGGCACGAAAGTTAACCCTGCACAGTAAACAAAAAAAAAGGTATCGAAGGAGAAGTTTGCCGGGGGAGAAACTTGACCATAGCAACAGGTTCTAGTGTCATACCGCGCTTGACGTTTTACTTATTCATTTCCCGCCATTTGCAAATGCACTTTTTTCATTGATAAGTACACTCAAGAAATAAAGTGATTTATTACTATACTGAATTTTGTCGTTCTTTTTGACTATGGATTTTTAAATCACAGTCTAATGTAATATTTCATTAAGTAACATCAACAAAAATATACATATATAATACTTTTGTTACCACCTACTCTAACAAACACTCCTCTTATTATTATCATTATAAGGATTTAAATCAGTAAAAGACGTTCTGAATGGTCCTTAGTTTAAGTTAATTTTTTTATGCAAATATTTTACGTTTACATTTTTATCCCGAGTATACCTGTGCAGTGGACGCCATATTGGGTTTACTTTCGCGCCGGGCACTAAAGTCATCTTTCAAAAGTTGTTTTATTTGATTATGAGTATTCATAAAGTATTAATTCAAGTGGTGGTCGTGTTGTTCCATAGCTCGTAGTCCGGTGTTTTCACACTTGAACGCTACCCTGCAAGGTATAACAACTATACGCGCCTTCGGTGCACAAGAGGCTCTCATCAGGGAGTTCGACAATCATCAGGACCTGCATAGTTCCGCTTGGTGAGTCTGATTTACTGTGTTTTACATTATAAACATATTTGATTAATCCCTTTTATAACTCGGGTTGAATTTCGGTGTGCGGCCGCTCAACTCTCTAGCCATGATTCCAGCCATAGGACATGATATCTTAGCGATGCTGTGTCGATATTTCGTTTCATTTTATTACTTTAACACGTACTTTATTAATGCTGAACGAATGATAAAGAATGGCAATTATGGCGTTGGCAGCAGCGTTTCCAAACTAGTAATTTATCACAAGTTTATTCACACCAAGACATACCAAAAATGTAAGATTAAACAAAATATAGCCATAACATTTATAAGATGTCGTATTATAAACATATTTGATGTATTACTCTTCGAACACAAGAACGGGTTGAATGGGGATGAAGACAGGGTAAAAAAAAGAAATTCTACTTAGTCCGTCAGTCAGATAATAGAAATATATTAGATACGTATTTTTTTTTTACTTCATTTCAACAATAAATACCTTAGGCAATAAAGTTGAGGAGTGTGGGTTCGCTACGTCACAGTTGTGTAGAAAATGTACATTTTAACTCAATTTATTTAAAAAATAAAAAATACGTGTTTAATATTTTTCAACATTCTACCTGACGGACAAACAAAAAAAATTACTGTTCAGATACTTTTAGTTTGGAAATATTTGTAGAAGTCCAAGGAAGAAGAAGGTGAGAATATATAAAGAAAATGAAACAAAAATAGTAAACGTAGCAATTTTTTGCTAAACAGGTTGCGGTCAGGAATTATTTTGACTTTTGATATATATATATTTTTTTAATCTAAGGAACTCGATAGCGCCATGATTTGCGCCTTTGGTCTGCGATTCGATTGCTAAGTAACTTTCTCAAGGGCTGTTCATGAGATGGGTACTTCGGAAGGCACTTCAAGCCATTGATCTCGGTTGCATCTGCAATCGTTCACACCCACCAATCCGCCGCATTGGGCCTGCTTAGTGAATTTTTTTTTTACGTTATGATCGCATATTAATATAGTTTAAACTTACATTAAACTCTTGCATTTTGCCATTGTACCTGAAGTTCAATATGAATATCTGTCACCATTGATGTGTGAGGACGACATAGTACTATTTGTAGTCATCTGCGGTATATGTCGAGCTGGAACCTTTTGGACACACCCTAGTCCTATATAAAATTGTATCTAGCAATTTGTATTATTCCTGTGCTATTTTATGCTGTTATAATGTGATAATGGTGTGTTCAATAAATCATTCATTCATTCATTCACTAATATTATTGGATTTTAGGTATATTTATTTATAATGGTGAAATGCCAGTCGTTGTGATTCTATTGAGATGCTTTTATTACGTTGCTGTGCGTCACGGGTAAGCTATTGATGATGATGAATATTAACTAAATTATTGGGAACTCCGATTTGATTACAGGTATCTCTTCATCGCCAGTTCGCGTGCCTTCGGCTTTTGGTTGGACTTGGTCTGTGTGATATACATAGCTATGGTTACTTTCAGCTTTCTAGTCTTCAATCAAAGTAAGTATTTTACACCAATGGATGTTTTTACACTATATAATGTGTATCTTCATAAATAATATTGTTATTAAGAGACGGTGCAAATTGACAAAAGATCCATCAAGCGTCTCTCGAAAGTATTCGCTCGTACGCGACGGTAATCCGTCGAGTGAGCAAGTTTGAATGTGTTATCATATACTAGCTTTTTTCCTGCGATTTTACACGTGTAAATTATGACCTTTGTTAAGTGCGTATAAAAGCGAGCTGAAATAATTTTTAAATCGGTCCAGTAGTTTCGGAGCTAATTCGATACAAACAAACAATCAAATCTTTCCTCTTTATTTAATATTAGTTTAGATTTGTCAGTTCTGATGTTCTGCACCCGACGAGACGATTCGTTAGATGGCGCTGTTCTTGTCTGATTAATTTAAAAATATCAATCAGACAAGAACGCGAAAAAGTTATTGGAATAAAGTCATGATATGGCGGACAGTGTTTTCGGCTATTGAATTTTTATTTCATTTTAAGACAAGAAAACGTGCTTATTTTCTAAAATATTTATCTAATGGCATATTTTTATTAAAATAAACCCTGAAAAGTACCGTTTCAAACAGAGTATATTATATATGGAATCCGATCAATATATATGTTTTCTTATATTTCCTTATTTATTATTCTGGTAGAAGAGAATGGTGGGAACGTGGGTCTGGCGATAACACAAGCGATGGGTCTCACTGGTATGTTCCAGTGGGGCATGAGACAATCCACCGAGCTAGAAAATCAAATGACAAGTGTCGAAAGGTCAGTACCGTTAGCAAAAAAAAAAAACTCAAGTGCTAATCTAATTTCAACTATATCAACCCACAACAGCCTAGTGAGTAGTTGTGTAATAGGAATGATGACTGGATAAAAAAATCTATTCAGTCCGTCAGTCAGATAATAGGAAAATATTAGATAAGTATTTTTTTGCTCCAATGTCCAAAACAAAAAATGACTTAGATAATAGGTTAATAATTAAATTTTAAGAGGGGGGGGGGGGGCTTGCTACGTCACAATCACGTAGAAAATGTACAAAGCCGTGACGTTTCGTAATATTTCTACTTAATGTATCGCCGTAATTTATTGATTACGCAAAAAATACGTACATTCATCTGCCAAACTTATAAATGAGCTGATCTTGATTTTCCTGGCCTAGTCAAAAAATGGCGACATATCGTGATATGCCCTGGCAGACCTCAATCGGTCCAGTCCAACATTGGGTCCACGACATATGCATGTATCGTGAGTCAAAAAAAAAGTATTTCTCTACATACAGGATAGAGGAGTACTCCAACATAGATTCTGAGCCGCCGTTGCAATCGCCGCCTGAGAAGAAGCCGCCGCCGTCTTGGCCGGACGCCGGACACGTCCAGTTCCGGCACGTTTATCTGTATTACGCACCCGCTGACCCGCCCGTACTAAGAGATCTCACTTTCGAGATAATGCCTAAAGAGAAAGTCGGCATAGTCGGCAGGACAGGCGCCGGCAAGTCATCGCTTATCAACGCACTCTTTAGGTGAGTTCATTATTTATCATATAACTCGCTTACCGCCAGCGGCTTCGCCCGCGTGGTTCCTATGGAACTGTTTATTTGAATATCGATTCATACCATGATATACGAGTAATATCATAATATAAAACACGGATATAATTACATTGGCAAATTGCATAGTACATAACTATTGTAAAATTTTCATTCATTATACAAACTTCCACTCCCATGTTCATCCCTTTATTTTCTGTTTTTCTTTTATTATTTTATCCCAAAAACAGCTACTTTAAAAATAAAGTATTTTTTAAAAATAAAAAATATTCACCGCATATGATATAGCTTCCCGTATGTGAAACAATTTTTAAAATCGTAAATTTAAAAAAGTATTTTCGAAGCCTATTTATTGCAAACAAAGAAACAAACATGCATACACATACAAATAACCCAAGTCTGAGAGGACAATCCACCAAAGCACTTCTTAAGTAATGGAGCTGTCGATGCCTGGAATAAATTGCCAGAGAATGTTGTAACCGATAATATTAACCAATTTAAAAACAGACTGGACTTAAACCTGAAATTTAAATCATAGAGAAAAACAAAAATGTGTTTAATACATATTATGAAAACAGAACAGACATTAGATACAGGCATATATCAGTTGTTTCAACTGCCTGCCTGAGTTACAATATTAATAATATATTAGTAGCTCGGTGGCGTAGTGGATAAACGCCGCTGCCCACGATCGTTGTTGTTAAGCAACTTTCTCAAAGGTCGGTCACGGGATGGGTGGTGATAAAAATTGTACTCTCGAGCTACTCTGTGCTTCGGAAGGCTCGTTAGGACGTTGGTCCCGGCTACGTTTGCAGTCGTTAATGCCCGCAGAAAGTATTTTTTTTTGTCAAAATCCTGACAGTAGTTTTTGAGTGGGGAAGTAACAAACATCCAAACCTACAAACTTTCGACTTTATAATATAAGTAAGATAGCATAGGTATTGTTGTACTATTTGAAAGCTGCTAATATTATAAATGTAAATCTAATTTACTTATTTGTTATGCACTTACATGATTCTGCTGTACTTTTATCTCAGTCTACCATAAAGTCTATCTTTATATTAAGAATTAGCTGTTTTCCTGCGACATTGCCTGCACAAATTATTGTCTAATATCACCCTCGAATGATATAGCTTTTCGTAGGTGAAATGATCTTCATGATCGGTTTTTCGAAAATCACCAAATACAAACAAATTAAGTTAGAAACTTTCTTCTTCATTCTTTGACATAGATGAAGGGTTTAATAAAAAATATTTTTTACTTTTAGGTTGGCAACAATTGAGGGCGAAATCATAATAGACGGTCGTGAAACTTCTCTGCTGGGTCTCCACGAGCTGCGAAGTCAAATTTCCATCATCCCACAGGAACCAGTATTGTTTTCGGGCACGATGCGTCATAATCTGGACCCTTTTGACGAGTATCCTGATCAGGTGCTTTGGGGAGCACTAGAAGAGGTCTATATCTTTGTCTTTGTTATTCTGACGGAATTATTACTTAATTTTTAAATATTACACTTCGACTTCAATATTCCTGTTTTTAATGAATTATGTTTTAGAAATTATATTTACTGAAGTGAAAGTAAATTAATATTATTACAAAAAGAGAACCTAAAGACGTTGAATTGTCTTCTAAAACGCTGTAACAACCCGTTTCCCGGTAGAGCGGGGTTTCTCCAATATTTTTGGGTGTACCTGTTAGGGGTCCAAGAAAATATACAAAAATGTTTGGCAAAACTTACTCTTAATTCAAAGACAGTCGCAGTACAATATGTCGTGGGGTTCAAGCCAATCGTTTCTAATTTTGACAATGAACAAAACCTATTTCCTTTTTTTAAATAATCAGCAAATTACTTATAAAGATATTATATGTAAAACACTTTTCGACATATGACCAACAGTTACGTATTATTTTTATGTCTATTGAAAAGTAAGGATTATTGTTACATGTAAATTAATTATTAATTAAAATTAATAATATTTTACATACTTAAAACTATTGCACACAGTACAGTAAATAGTATATATATATGATACACACAGTAAATATGTGATACCCTTATTTTATGACATCTGTTATACCCGCACCGCCCGCGATGTATGTACATTTTATTCATTTGATTTTAAACCTTAAAAATTGAAAGAAAAGCTTAAAATCAACTGGACTTACACATATAATTTGACATCCATAACCAGTACATAGAACTAGGTTTTCTTTTTTTTACTAGCCAAAAATGGTTGAAAATGCCTAACCTAGAGATATAAAATTTCCCATTGAAATTCGAAATAATTTCACAACGTACACAAAAGCAAGTATCCAGCTAATAAAAAAAAAACATTTATATTCATTCAGGTGGAATTGAAAGAGGCGGTAATGGAATTGCCGGCTGGTCTTAGTTCTCGTATGTCAGAGGGCGGCGGCAATTTCTCAGTGGGTCAGCGGCAACTGGTTTGTCTAGCGCGAGCCATCGTCAGACGGAATCGACTTCTAGTACTAGACGAGGCCACCGCTAACGTAGACCCTCAGTAAGTTTATATTGATGTGAAAATAGTTTATATAATAGAGATGCGCAAAATAATGGTTTCGCAGAATACTATTCGGTTTCA